GGGCCAATTCTCAATGTCTGTCAAAAAGTATCACAAATTTACAAAAATAGAGAGAGTGAATTAGCTAGATTAACGGGTTCTTTGAATTTTATTTTTATCATTACTGAGGTCAGAAAAGTTCAAATCGTAATCTGTATTATGGCCAGTCTGGTTCTGAATTTATAGCGGAGTAAAATGAGAAATTTATAATCTTTACACTGTTTAAACTGTTAAATTGTTATTTATTGGTAATTATTATAGAATGAAAGTGACAAACATATTGTTTGTTTCCATTTAAAATTAAATTACGTAAAAAAAACAATATTCAACATCGAGTTTCCAAAACAAGTTATTCTTCCTTTATCATGTTTATGTAATTGAAAATACAAGTTCCCCCCCCCCCCCCCCCCCCCCCCGAGATAAAAAAAAATACGTCCCTCTAAAAAGTAAAAAGAGCAAAAGAAACATAACGACAGTGGTTAAACATTGACTTCGAATTTACATGCATGTTAGGATCCACAAATCTATTTACGATATCGAACTTTTTTTCATTGCACCACTGCTACATTGTTTTGCAAATTCACAAACACATCACAATTTCTAGGAGTGTTTGCGTCATACAAATGTAATAAATAATTGTATAACTTATATATATTTATTATTTTACAGTTTAATACACGTCGCAATTCCAGTGGGAAAATATACCAACATGTTCATATTGACCATGCATTGATCTGTTCCCCCCAAACAAAGAAATCACAACTGTTAGACCAGAGGTTTGATGGATCCCCTAGCACCATGGTTTTGGTAGCGTCAAAACATTTGCGAGGTTGGCAGCAAGATACCAGTTAATGAGATCTTTATCTATTTCTTTAGATATTTATGTTGTGAGTTCACGCTCTATTCCTTGTTTAAAACACCGAATACATAATGTATTGCAGATTTATGCAAGATACTATGTCGAAATGGGAAGTATGGTTTGATTTTGATTTTTGGTGTTTTAACGCCACCTTTAAGCACCGTTTTTGGGCTATTTCGTGGCGGCCAGTTTTTATTGGTGGAGGAAGCCGGAGTGCCCGGTGAAAACCACCGACCTTCGATAGAAAAACTAACAATCCTAGTCAATTAAGATTGGAATAGAGTGCACCCGCACGAGCGGGGTTCGAACTCACAACCTCAGTGTTGACTGGCTAGTGATTACAGTAGTAACTACTTAGACCACTCGGCCACCGAGGCCCCTGGGAAGTATGGGAAAGCACCTCAAAGAAGGGATTTTGATTCAATGAATGAGGCACATAAGGGGCATATTATTTGATAAGTATACCATATAAATATTTGACTCTACTGGCCATATTCAGTGTTGGAATGCGGTTAAGAACTTTGTAACGATTTAACCGTTATCTATAGGGTTGTTGAAATCACATTCATTAATTATCTTCATCCGTGAATTCAAAGTAGGACGATTTAATTACACCATTTTGGTAAACATTGCGAGTGGGTCAAGTTAATCGAGATTCTCGCATCCTGTGTTGACCTTGATAATATATTGTTTTTTAAAAGAAAGTCATCAAAACTGTTTGTTCGAAACAATGCCAAAGAGTAAAATCCTGACTGGACTGGAATTTGACTGGTGGACTTGACCACGGCTTTTGCTGTTCTGATTAGCAATGCGAAAAACGTGCTTTAGCTAATATAAGCGTGACTTTTTGGTATCAATGGTCGTCCATTGTCGTCGTTGGTTACAATAATCTTCTCCTGTAGAACAACTTGGGCAATCGGAACCATTTTTGTAACAATCATTCTCGGGGTAACTATTTTTCTAAATTTGTCAACAAAACAAGTATGGCACTAAGACACTTGTTTTATCCCCTATATCCCACTTCCCTTCTTTTTCACCCCGTTTCCACATCCAAAAAGTTTCTCATCCCCTCTTTTTAAAATGATTCCTAAGCTGAGCATATGTTACTTTTCATGTAACAGAGGCTTGTCATCATCCGCAACCAACCACTAACGTTACGGTTTTTTTATTTAGACCTATTTCAGATTAAGTACTTATGTTATGAAAATTGGTTTAAAGTTACAATAACATCTATTCGTCGCAGTATATGAGCCCCTTGCGAATTTCAATTTTAGTCTTTCGTTTGACTTGATCAGGGATCAAACCAGCAACATCTCGCACTAGAGTCAAACATGATACCAGTAAACCACTGTTCATTAAGTGAATTTGAATTAAAGCATTGATTAAGAATTAAATATTATGATTTAGTGTGTTTAGCGAGATTCTCGCATCATTTGCTGATCTTGATGGTATATTGTTGATAAAAGAACACTATTTGTTTAGAATAATGCAAAGTGTAAATCTTGAATGCACAGGATTGGACTGGCTGTCCTGATTATCAATGTGAAAAACGTGTTTTAGCTAAAATGAGTTTGACCTTTTGCCATCAATGGTCGTTCATTGTTGTCGTTTGTTACAATAATCTTCTCCTCTAGAACAACTTGGGCATTTTGAACAAATTTGTGAACAACCATCCTTGGGATATTTATTTTTCTACATTTGTCAACCAACCATGAATGGCCACCAAGGCAATTGTTTAAGCCCCTTATAATTTTAATTTTAATTTTGAAATTATAAATTTCCTCCATCTTAGTAGTAATATACCAACTGCACCTGCATATGGGATATACATTTCCCAACTTATTCGGTATTCAAGAGCTTGCAGCTGCTACTCAGACTTTGTAAAACGTCACCAGTGTCTGATCCGAAAGTTGATGAACCAGGGATATGTCAAAGAACGCAGGGTCGGATCCAGAGGGGGGGGAGGGGGTCCGGGGGTTGGTACCCCCCTTTTTTTTAGAAGATCAATGCATTTGAATGGGGACATATAGTTAAAACACCCCCCCCCCTTTTATCCTTTGGGAACCCCCTTTTAAATATGGCTGGATCCGCCCCTGGAACGTCTCGTCCTTTATCTAAAAAAGTTCATCGGAAGATACCAAGACCTTGTTGATAAATATTCCGTATCAATTTCACAAATAATACACGATGGTCTTGAAGTATAGATTCTAGGTACTGATACTGTTTATCATCTTAATAACGTGTTTTAGTATTCTTTTATTTGTCTTTAGGAATATTACTTTTACTGTTTAATTTATTTTTGGTAATATCCAATTGACGTGGCTCGGTACTTATACATCCCCTCATTGTGTTATTGTGCTATGGTAAATTTTTGTATTCTTGTCTTTCGTGTTTGCTAATGTGCTTTGTCTATATGTCTATTTGTGTTTCTTTGTTGACATATTTGTGTGTTTTTATATTGATTAAGATTATAACACAATGTTGACTTCTGTACCCCTATTTGTGACAGTTTTACCTATTAAGTCTGTTTGTTTTGTTCACACCTCGTTGTCAATATAATGGAATTTTATGCGACTGTCATACAAATGAGAGGTTTAGCTAGCTATAAAACCAAGTTTAATCCACCATTTTCTACATAAGAAAATGCCTGTACCAAGTTAGGAATATGACAGTTGTTATCCATTCGTTTGATGTGTTTGAGCTTTATTTGAATTTGCCATTTGATTAGGGACTTTCTGTTTTGAATTTTCCTCGGAGTTTGGTATTTTTGTTATTTTACTATTTTTTATATCCGACTTTTCCACCTTTTATACCCTCTGTTTTCACCATCCAAAATGCGTGTCATCCCCCTTTTTTAAAATGAGTCGAAATGTGAGAATGTTACATTTTAGGTAACAGGAGACTTGTCATCATTAGCAACCTACCCTTAATGCTATGTTTTTTTATTTAGGCCAATTTCACATTAAGAACTCAAGTTATGAAAATTGGTTTAAAGTTACAACAGCATCCATTAATCTCAGCCCTACACAGTATATGAGGCCTTTGCAAATTTTAATTTTAGTCTTTCATTTGTCCAGACCAGGGATCAAACGGACATCTTGCACTAGGGTCAAACAGGATACAAGTAGACCACCGAGGCGGTCTGTGACGGTTCATTCAGTGAATTTGGAATTAAAGCATTGTTAAAGAATTGAATTTTCTGATTTAGTGTGTTGATGGTAAGTATCATGTATTTATCAAAGTTGTACAAAAAATCGAACATGTAAACATGTAAACATGTTGAGGATGATGTGAAGACATAATTGATTATGGTTATTTCACAAGGTCAAAACTGTGAATTTCAAATGGACATTTCAATTGAAAAATCATAAGAACGCAACATACAACCCAAATGCAAATCATTATATAGGTATTAAGTTCTGTGTTGATAGTTGCAATGTTGAGATGGCTGAAATAAAGTAACCTGAATGTGATCTGCTCTGTGTTTGGGTTGTTGTCTCTTTGACACATGCCCTGGTTCTGTTTTAAATGCTATTAATACAAAAAGATGACTGGTTCAAAATAAATGTGTAACCCTTGACAAAAGCAATCTCAAAATATTATCAAACATAAAACAAAATGTCCACCTTTTAAATTTAAAATTAAAACAACTCTGTCTTAGTCGAACCTAAATGTTGTACAAACAAGAATGAATGTCTTGTCATGCTAAGCATACCCTTACTCGTAATTCAAAGTTTTGGCAAACAGGTATTACATGTATGTGTCTGACAGACCCGAAAAGTGCGAACATATTCAAACTCATCACTCTGTATAGCAGCTTCCAAATATGCAGTAATTCTGTTCAGTATTTTCTGAGAAAACTGTGACAAAAATATTTGTTGGGAGAAAAGACAGATCGACAGACGAGGTTATTTTCAGAGTGGGTAATTTTCTAAGGATAATATAGGAAGATTTTGAAAATAAAAACATACACTGAGAGAAAATGAAATGACAAACAGTTTTGTTTTCAAAGAACCACTAATTCATAGTACACAAATTGAAAGATTCTGTGGTGTAATTTTCTGGAAAAAAAGGACAATAATTGAAAGAGGGACAACAGACAGAAAGCAAGCAACTACTAAAGATCGAAAGAGAGCTGACAAAAATAAAAGAAAACAAGATCAAAAGTAATAAATTCCTTTTTTTATTTCATATTTTTTTTAATATAACAAATTAAAAATAGTTTTAGTTCCTGATAAATCAAAATAATAATATAAAATGCTTTTATAATTCATATTCTATATCTGCAGAACCCATTTTAAAGTCCAAGAAGGTGTTCATAATATTTGCACAAACATTGAAAATAGTTTAAAAAAGATATTTTAAATAAATATAACAAAGGCTTTTAAAAATTTTGTCTAGCTTTCTGCGTACACAATTTGTATTAAACTTTGTTTTAGATAGTAGTAGACCTAGAGGCTTCATACTTTGTATACAGATTTTCACGGTTCATTTGGCAATAATAAATTTTTATTGTTTGGTCTGGTTCTTGTTTAATATATGCAATAGGTTAACTAAAGTTGGTGTATGCACTGATTGTATGGTGAACATGTCTGTATGGCTTGGTTTATCTTACCTTGACCTCTGTTTAATGGTCCATTGGTCAATGTTAAGCTTTCCAGCTGGTTTAGTCAATTTATCAGATACAGCAATAAGGTTAACTATATTTTATGTTAGGAATCATTGTAAGGTGTACAATTCTGTTTTGCTTGGTTTATCTGACCTTGACCTCATTTTCATAGATCATCTATGAAAATGAGCTCAAGTTTATATATGTGATACTTGTAGAACATGTTTGTCTCTAGAACATAAAATTAATCATGAAGCAGGCAATACATTTCAGTTTGTGCACTCTTGTTTAAATTATTCCAATTATAATAAGGAAATGTTATTTTATAAACATTCCAAAAACCTGATTTGGCTTCAAATGAGGTAGCAATGATTATTTTATAATAAAATGTGTTTTCATAAATAGATGTTCTTTAATTTACAGAAAACATACAAGACATAGCATATGTCATATGTAAAACAAGCGGTTTTGTTTTTAATGAATTCCCCAAAAAAAGTAAAGATTGATGTATACGTCAATGAGACAGCAACAAGGATCTGGAAATGTTTCACGCCATTTGGGTCATTTTGGGATGACTTGAAAGTTGGGGTCCTTTTTAGTAAACTGTTGAATTCATACCAGATTCACAACATCAACAAAGTTGTGTTGACAGTTCATCCCATTTACTTCATGCAAGTCTTTATCGTTTTTCTTAAAACATTCAAGAAATATTAATGAAATGTAGCAGTTTAAAGTTTTAGTGATTTTAATGACTTTAAACTGTGAAATGGATCAGAAATCCAACACACAACTTTCAAGTCTGAAAAACAAAATAAAAACAGGAAGTTTCAAGGTTAAAGTCTACCCGTTTCAAGTTAAAAGGATGCTCCTTTAATTTGGATGTAATCATTTTGCATTTTACAACTAAATACTAGTGTCTTTTCTGGTGAAGACATTTGCACACATTCATATTACACAAAACACTATTTTTTCTATGTAATTAAATAAAGTTTAAAAATTGGAATTAAGTCATTGCCTTTGCTTAAAAATTATTAAATACTGAGATAACTTGTCATAAAATAGAATTTCTTTACACTGTCATACATATATATCACCATATAAAACTTTTACAACATCCTGTCTTCATGTATATCCCCAATAAGGGCCTTACAACACCCTTCTGTATACCATTTGAACAAAAAAATGTCTTTTTTAACAATATGCAAATTGTATAAATAATCATAGCAAAAAAAAACTATTCAAATTAGAAAATCTCATAGGTATTAATATACAAAAATTCACAACACTTGATAATATTTGATTTTTTTGCATTAAATAGATAAAATAAAACACAAGGAAACCCATAAATCTTAGTAACATACATAGGCATTGAAAAATCCAAGCCCTCAGACAGAAGACTCAACTATTTTTTACATTATTCCATACATTTATCGTGTAAATTCATACTTTTCTGAAGATTGGAAACAAAGAAACTAAACTCTCTGTAAAAAGGGTAAAAGAAGTTTTATATACTATATTTTCAAGTGTTTTAAGAATTTCATTTAAATACTGAACTTTATTGATAAGTTTAGGAATTATATATAAAGGTTATATTCCATATGCTATATAAACTTATAAAAACGATATGTGTTCAATACAAAATATTTCCTATGACATGCACTGCATATTAAGCAATGAAATAATGGTCCTGATTTAATTTAAATTAGGATAAATTTAACATCATTATTTTTATCCACATATGAGAAATATTTGTATAAGTATTTCTGCGTAAATTTGACATGACTATACAAACAAATATCATATTACACATCATCAACATTGTAAGCAATATAATATTCTTCACAAAAACGACATTAATATCACAGTTATATTGTAAAAGAATTAAAAATTACACTTATCACAAAACAATTGGCCATCTCAGAATCTAAAGAACTATGGGTAATTTTATTGGTCGTACCCCAAAATGAAAATAATGTCATGTCATTGGTTGGATTCAAATTGTTTAGGACATTTGTGGCCAATCACAACACTTTGGGGTACACTTTTGAAAATATTACCCAGAATGCATAAGATTCTGAAACGGCGAATTTAAAACCTGGCAAATTATCGGTCAATACAACATATCTACAACAGTAGATCAGTTTGTTAAACATTACAAAGAAAGACCAAAATATACACAAATCTATACTAAAATGTACTTTTAAAGTACAATTATGGTTGAGGCATATACATACTATAGATTTCACCAATAAATGCATACTTATTTCTAAATATTCCATTACTTCAACTCTAACATTTGAAACCAAACACAACATTTATCTTTGTTATAACATTCATTCCCAAGGGGTGGTGGTCTCAACATACAAATTTTAGTACAGCCATTTGGCTGGGGTTTAATCCTCCCTTTCATATTTTGATTTTTTGGGTTTTCTTTGGTTCCTTGAGGCAGGTCATGTGAATGATTTCTCACTAACAACCTAGTCATTTATCATGAATTTGAAATGGAAAACCCCATATCAATTAAAATAATAACATAATAAATCTCATGTCTATTTGTTCGCTATTACTGGACAAAGGCTCTGGTTTGATGTCACAAAGGAAAAGTCATAGCAATAAGACGTAAATAGTTCTAGTGTTGCAGATTTCTGAATAGTGATAAGGTCTTTTTAAGCTATGTTATGTCACAAGGTTGTATATGTCATGATGAAGTCTATATGAAGGCCCAAGAATAAATGTACTGCATATATAAAAATGATGTCTATACAAAAATGACATTCAAATTTTTTTCTTTTAAGTCATAATTTAAAAAACAAAAATGATAGTATCAGCTGATAAAAACTATTTAAGAATATGCGATTATCACATAATTTTATCATATATTATATTTTATACATCACAACAATATATATATACATATATATATTACTTGACTTGAAATAAAATAAAATCTGTCACTGTGTGTACATGTCTTCAGAGTACTATCAAAATTTCAACTAATTTCAATGTGAATATAGAACACCATGTTATTGTATGTATGAATATAGATTCCTCCTTTAATCCTGGCACCCCTGAAGAGCTGCAGGTGTACAGTGGAATCTGTGTAAACTGCTTTTCAGGATTAATAGAGATGTTTCATTAATTAATTAAATAACAACCCAAGGATGATCCACAACCCAACATCAAAAGACAATAATTAAACAGTATTCTAATATTTGCATGTCCATTAAAAAATAAGAATAGTTACTTGATACATAATTCATGTTCAAAATGCAAATTATATCATTTATTACATATATGATTTATTTTCCATTCCCAAATCTGAATTATTGGGATATCCATGCTGTGGCTGACCTCCGTTAGAAACCACTGAATGATATGACGGAGGTTGTTCTGTAGGAGCTGTTGGAACAGTGTACTCAGCACTTTGATTTTGAGGATAATACATAAGATTTCCCTGATTATGTATTGATGATTGCTGCTGAAATGAGGGTCTTTCTGATACACTTTGATTTTGTGATCTAAATGCTGGATTGTCATGAGCATTTGTCCGTTGTGTAGCTGTTGGTTCTGTTGAGAAAGATGGCCTTCCATTGGATGAGGAGTTACTGGATTTGGCTCTGATATGTCTAATGACAAAAAAGGCAATGATGACAACCACCAATACACCAATGACAATGCCAGCTATAGATCCACCACTTATGCCTCCTTCATCATCAGTTTTACAGTTATCTTAAAAAACAAATATAACAAGAATCAATGGCCCTGCTTTTTTGAGACATTTAAAATATATATGTTGGTGTTAAGTTATCTATTTGACATTTTTTTTGTATTACATAGAATGGTAAATATAACTTACACAGTCCACTTACACAGATCTGACTGGATCAATCAAGGGGAGGTAAGTTGAATTTATAGGATGATTGACCAATATTGAAAATCCTGTTGATGTGGACATAAAATGTATTATAGTGGACATCAATCCATGTCACATTACTCTTTCATTTGAAACTTATTTTTTTCTGTTTTCTGTTGTAGTTCCCCTGCCAGATGAAATTCATGAATTGATGAACCATCATGAACTGTTCATGAATGTCCATAAACAGTGCATGATTGTTCACAAGAAGTTCATAAAGTTAGTTCATGAATTTAGTTCATGAAGTTCATAAAATGCAGTTCATGAATATTTTCTGAACTTTAATGAACTGTTAGTCAGTTCATAATGTTCATAAATTGTTCATAACAGATGTTCATGAACATTTTATGAACTTTTAGTGAATCAATTAATTCATAAAGTTCATAAATCAATTCATAACAGTTTCATGAACATTTTATGAACTTTTATGAAACAATAAATTTATCAACTTTGAAAAACTTATTTTCAATTATGACTTACAAAATTCAACTCAGATTTCTTTTTTGTTTCAGGCCTGAGGGGCATATCTCAGGGTTCTCACTAACTTGTATGCAAATTTGTCTGTCATACAAAAAGTTCCCATAAAATTTGACATCCATATCATGATATCACGATTACAAAAATTTGAGGTCACAATTAAAAGTGATTGGTGCATGACCTCAAAAGGTTATTCGGAGACAGATCTTACGATCATTTTGAGACAACATTCACTTAAATAGCAAAAGTATAAATTCATGTATGTTTATTAAAATAGCAATAAAAATATAGATGGTCATTGTTGCCGTGCTGGGACTCCCAATGACCAAACATTATCACCTTCAAAAATACTTCCTGAGAACCCTGATGTCTCTTTAGTGTATTATTTGTAGTATTATAAATACATTTTTTATAATTTATTAATTTATTTCAGTTGACTTGGTGTGGGGTTTGACAAAAAAAAGCAGCTTCATATGTTCATACATGTACATTATCTCCAGCCCCCCCCTCCCCCTTTCCCTCTATAATAGTGAACATCTTATCAAGCAAATTGATATCTTTTTAAAGGGAAATTCAACATCAGGTGAAAATTGTTTAAAAGCCTAAAAAGGACAACTTTAATACTTGAAATTGAAATTGAATACATATGACTTGTATACGAAATAAAGCAAAATTATGTCAATAAAAATGTATTCTCTTTACATTTGACAACAGAAATTAGCACAGCAGTTTTTTCCTTCTTCACACTACGACAGCAGAAGTACATTTTGAGAATCATACAAAATTTGGGACTACAAACTTTTTAAGCTCTGTAACTTACTTTGAGATGTTTCTCATGATTCGTTTTTACTATGGTAAACTGCCAAATTATCATTTCTTTCTTCCAAAGATGTAATTTCTGACTGTTTCTCCAAGTTCAAACATGTGCCTTTCTTAATCATCATACAGCACATTCAAGGAATTGTATATTTAAAAGGAATGGAAACGCGGCTCGAGATCAATCGGGATACCCGCAAAGCACCCGCAGAGCTATAATCCATGTCTGTCTCAGTCGGAAGTATGATGAATAATATAAAGAATCATAAAGAATCATGACGGAGGTCCATTTCCTGTCATATAGATCGGTCTTTTAATTCACGGGGTCATCTTGCTTGAGAAGATAAAAAGGAAAGAGAAACCCAAAATCAAGAATAAACTTTTATTCCATGAAAAAGGTAAGGCCCTAGGTATCATTTTAATGCCTCATCAAACATATGTTTGTAATATTGTATTATGTAAATTCTCATTAAAATAGACCTTGGTCTTGAAACTTGAGCGAGTTTCATCCGAATTACAAAACAAAAAATACTGTGTTTTGATTTTTTTCTAAAAGCTCGACAAATACGAAGTGCAAAACAAAACAGTTGATATCATTATGAAGCTGAAACCTTATTCTATCATTTTGCCCTTTTTTTAAGTTTCTGGTAAAATTTCTGAATTTTCTACGATTTTTCGAAATTTCAGTTTCGAATTTCATTATTCTGTCAAAATATGTCTATCAATCTGGGAGTGTACTACGATTTCTTTTAAATATTGGAAAGTAGAAAGAACAAAGTGAGAAAATGAGATATCATTTTAAAGAAGGAATATTTTCCTACAGTTTGGTCTAAATTACGAATGCTAAATGTAATTGGTACAATGTAAATGATTTTATTTCGAAACATGTTGAAAATTTGAAGTAGTGCGTCAATAAATACATCGACAATTTGTATTTTGGTAAGGGTTAAATAACTACTTGAAATAGATGTGACATTGACATACAACTTAAAAGCTTAATCTTTTTTCTATCACATAGTGTTGGTTTTATGGAAATGGTGATAAAAACGAATTTGCTATGATTTTTCAAACTCCATGTTTATAGTTCACATTGACGCCATTATGATCAGTCAAGTTCCACACCAAAGAAGTCGGAAATTACAGGCAAGAAATGTATATAAGACTTCCGATTGGGATTGATTGTGCCGTTTTATACACGATTTTAATAATTTATTTTTTTTGTCAAATACTATTTTTATACTTAATCGTTATTTGGTATTGCAGTTTGCCATTATTAAGCTTTGCAGCAAATTACCACAAGCTTAAAAGCAAAACAGTTCCTTCCTTTTTTCTAGAAGAGCAGTAGTCTAGAGGTCGCAAAATATTCCTTCGGTGTTAAAATAAATAATATGCGAATGTCGGAATGTTTTAACTGTTTCTAACTTAAAAAAATTATTGCTCCACGGCATAATTTAGCATTTATTAACAGGTGAGCTCGGCGTGATTTCTTTTTGACACCTTAAATCAGGGACAGCCTATAGTTAATATACACTGTTCCTGCTTAAATATATATACGACAAAAATTAACTTATCAATGACACATGATAGCTTATACCTGCAAATTGGATATCCCATACCGGTGTTTATTATAACACCTATTATCTAAGTTCTTTTATCTAGACAAAATACTACATCTGTTCACGTACTTCTTCCTTTATACTTTTCTATACCAGTCATATTCCAAAATTGAAAAGTTATTTTTTAACTTTTTGCATTACCTTAAATCTTTTTAAAAACTGGTACAGTGTCAGATTTCATCTATTAATTGATCTGAATTGTTGCATACCTTCGTGAAATATCAAGAACAGGTACAAGAAAAAAATGTTTTTCAGAAGTAACTTTGTTTAAGGTTGTATTTTTTGTTTATTTCATTTAAGGAATTGTATATCTAAATAGACAATTCCTTGTTTTATTTCATGATTAAATGACCAAGTTCGATAACTACTGCCAGATAAGTAATGAGCCAGTTCGAGCGACGGGATGTAATTAACACACCACCCAAATTAGAGATGCATCATACAATTTTCTTTGAAGTCGGCCGCGTTTCCATTCCTTTTAAATATACAATTCCTTGGCACATTGAAGAACTTGAAAAAATCACAGATTAACATGAATAATGACAATTCATTCCTCCCCAGACATTGCAGACCAGTGTCAATAATTATCAACATTAGTGAAATACGTTTTACAGTGTAAAACACTTAAATGACTTTGACAAATGTTTACCATTTTTACAAAGCATTTAAGTGACTTGGATCAGAAATGCATTTCATATGGATTAGAAAAATGCGTGAATGACTGGGAATAGAAAAACGTCATAAATTACGTCAGCAAAATTGTGATTTGACGCTTAAAATACAAATGAAGATGTTTTATGAGCAGTGAATTAATCTAGCCGTCACATAAAGTAGATTTGTTATCAGATAAGTATATTAGAAATATTTTTGAAATTTTCTTTGCTAGATAACTTTTTGTTGAAGCATTATGAAATGGCTTTCATTTGAGCATATCAACACCAGAAAGTGGCCTTTAATTTGACAGTATTGGATTAATTTCAAATCAGGATTAACTGATAGATTTGTTCAAAGTATAAAAAGATGAAAGATATTTTATTTCCAGATAAAGATAATTAATAATGCTTCTGAGACTCTTGGGGAAATTAAATTGAAGATTGAAGAAATTAAGGGGGGGGGGGGGGGGGGGGTTAAATTATTTCAAATGTCCTGAAATAATATACATGTTAATCTTAATCTATTGAAAATTTGTAATCTTAATAGATAAAAAACAACATTTATTAAATTAAAAGTAATTATACTTGTTAGAATCTGTTAAGTGTTTATTTTAACAAAATATCAAGGACTATTGATTCTTTGTGTAGTGATTTTTAATTTTGCAGGGGGAAACTGGTGCATTTATTGATTAATTAAAAGATCTGTTCCTATAACTGTGAAGAATTTCAAGCAGACTGAGAACAAGATGTTATTCAGCATTTCTAGTTGGAAGTCCTCAGCCATCTGATACAGCAATTCTAATTACAGAAAGGAAGAGAAAATTACTTATGATCTACACATCATTATCTAACACAAAGTTTTATGTATTCAGTTTATGTGATAGGTCCACAGTCAGACACATGTTTTACCCTGCATATCCATAGTTCAAAAGTTGTATTGGAGCTATCCATCATCATTTTATGGTTAAATGTTTAAGTCAACAATTGCTTCACCCATGAGAGGCTGTGATCATTCTAATGTGTTCTTGTAGTAATTTGGACTTTGCTATTGCCCAGTTGATATTACTTTTAATACATATATATATTGAAGAATAATTCATACATCTTTTTATTTATCATCATAGTATTAAATGTTTAAATTCTATTTACAGTTTACAGTTGTCTATTTAATCTTTATTTTGTCTTAAAATACTGACTGCATTCATGATATTAATCTGCTCATGAACTATTCATGAACAGAGTTGGTTCATGAACATTCAAGAAATACTGTTAATAATTTCATGAACTTTAAATGAACAGTTCATGAACTACAAGTGGACAAACAATGTTCATGAATTAAATTACTGATGAACAGTTCATGAACACAGTAGTTCATGTGTTCATGAATGATTCATGGACTGGTATTGTTCATGAACAAATTCATGAAACATTCATAAAAAAATCATGAACTGTAAATGAACAAGACATGAACTACAAATGGACAAGCATGTTCATGAACTATTAGATTATGAATAATTCATGAATAGAAAGAGTTCATGAACTTTGAAATCATGAACTATTCATGAATAATAAAAGTTCAAGAACTATTTTGTTCATGAACATTTATGAACTAAAGAGTTCATGAACACTTTCTGTTCATGAATAGTTCATTATTCACTGGTTCATGAACATGCTTGTCCATTTGTAGTTCATGTCTTGTTCATTAAATGTTCATGAATCTTTTATGAACAATTCATGAATTGTGTTCATGAATCATTCATGAATCATTCATGAACATTCATGAACCATTCATCATCATTTCGCAGGGGCTGCATGTTAAATTTCTATGAATACTTTTCAAATCTTGAAATTCTTATTTTTTCTAATTTTAAAAGGTTGTTGAAGCCCATTGTTGTTACATATTTTTCATTACCACTACATTATTTCAGTCAATATCAACTTTTTGTTGCTGTGTCTGTTTATAGAATAAAAAGTTTGATAAAAACTGTTCGCTAATGAAACATAGAATTATGATCCCAACAAACTTATTCTATTTAATTAAACATGCAATAGGTAGACAATAAATATATCAAGTGTGATGCCATATTTATCCACTCGAGACAGTAAATTTTTTAAATTTAAAACGTGAGGCTCACTGAGCTTTTTAAATATTTAAAATTTAACTGTCGAGAGTGGATAAATATCGTATTGCACGAGATTTGGTGGTGGAATCTGTTTCTCTAATTATTTTTAGATCATATGCAGACAAGTTTAATCCTTCTTTTTGAATGATCTGCAAAAAGATTTGTTCTTTCTATGTGACGTCATCAGGCATGGTCGCCTTTTTTCATGACATCACAATGGGAATTTCAGAGGAAAGCAAGAAAATATGACATCATAATTGAGTATTGACCAATGAACAACTGAGATCAAACAAACCACACGTTGATTAAAAAAAAAATAATCAACAGGTCAGGAAAAGGATAAATCAGGTTAGAATTAGAGAAACATGTCTACCTTTTTTATAAAGTGTTATAAAAACAAAATCGTCAATTGCATATTAAATTACATGTATTGTCAATTAGCGTGTTGAGACAGCTATAAATCCTAGAGGCAATTTTTGACAGGTGTGAAAAGTTTCCACATAACAAACAATATTACCTCCAACACAGTTTTTATATGGGTCTTTAGATCCAACTTGTCCAAAGTAGCAGACACTCTGTAAGGCACAATATGGCTGTTGTAGTTCCTGGTCATTGGAATCCCTAACACACCAACTACATCCAGCCACTCCAAAACAATCCCTATAAGGAATAGAAACAAACATTTAATGACATAACAAATTCAGGCCAAGGTGTACTCTGTTTCAAAGTGTCTGCAAGAGCTTTAAATTGTGTCATGAATCAACATTCAATATTCCCTTCTTTTCAAAGTATGAACAAAACAAACAAAAATAGATACTATAAAATCTGTATTTATATCATGGAAGCATGTCACAATATCATAAATCAAAAACAAAAGTATGACTTATATATCAACAGTTGGATGCCAAAAAAATGAAACATGTTTTAAAATGTAATTTATTCATTTAAGGTTATACTTAAAGTTACTAGTATTTACATCTGTCTCTTATCAAGACTCATTTCTTAAAACAGACATAATGAAAGAACAGCTTTCTAATGTCACCAGCATTACACATATTTGATCTGTCAAAGGGCAATAACTCCTAATATTTTTTTTGTGTTTTAAAATTTTTAATAAATATATACCTTTCTATAAATGAAGGCATGCAATGTGATCCCTAACAATGATATTTTCAATATAATTACATTTCAAAGAGACATAACTCTTATCCTGTTGCTTTTCCCAATGAATATAAACATATAAAAATTTCAGTACCTCCAAATGACAAATTTAGTATGAAGATTCCTTTTTACCCTATCCCAATGGCTAATTATACCAGTAAAGATATTGGAATTACTGTAGAGTACAGAAAAACTTCAAATGATTAGCCATTTTTGAGAGAAAACTTACGATTTCTGTGTTCTTGTGGAGCATTTAGGATCAAAGCAAAATTGAAGATTTTTAATCTTTTCTTCATCATTCAGATTTTCTGTCTGAAGTTCTGGGTCTCTAGGACTACATGTTTGTGCAGCATCACTGTGAAAAAGCATGTTCAATATAGGGGTTGCTAAATACAGATATACATATACAGTCAACCTTTGTTTAAATAAAAGAAGAATACGTCTGAGGACATGAATGCTCCACTCAAGCTTGCTTATACTATGTGAGAAAACTTATAAGGTAAAGTGTGAAAACAAAATATCTACAATTTTCCAAGTTGTAAATGAGCATAACTCTAGAACAGTAAATATGACCTCTGTCTGACAGTTTAGATTTTTTAGTATTGTGTACGAGTTTCATAAAATTTGGATAAGGAACACTCAATTTAAGAGTATGGAAATGAAAATGGGAAGGAAGGAGGGACAGACAGACATACAGAAAGATGGTCCGACAGTCATGGGTAACACTTAAGCCCACTTCACTTAGCGACTAAACAACACATTAATTCACAAATAAGTGTAGAACATGAGTTAATTATCAGTGTTGTTCAGTCAGTCATGTGTTGAATATTTTTCAATTTTAAATTCTTGGAGAAGTTATACTGTTTACAACATCTCATAGGCAATCAGTCTACATCTCTTTATCTGATATTCATCACAACAAAGTTTCAAACTTAAAAGGAAAAAAGTTGCTAAATTAGAAAAATTTGTATTTAAAAAACCACAGTAAACAAAAAACACTTTTTCAAACGAAAAACCTGGTTCAGCTTAGTGTCCAGTACAGTGTGGGATCAGATCAACAGGATACGCAATACTGATTTTACGTCGTGAAAATTCAAATTGTCTCCCTTCCCTTTATTGAATTCCCTTTGAATCTATCTTCAATTTACTAGTAATCTTATCACTGTTCAATCAGGTTTGACATGGGTGCCATATGTGGAGCAGGCTCTGCTTAACCTTCCGGAGCACCTGAGATCACCCCAAATTTTTTGTAGGGTTCGTGTTGCTTGGTCTTTAGTTTTCTATGTTGTGTCATCTGTACTATTATTTGTCTGTTTGTCTTTTTATTTTTGGCCATGGCGTTGTCAGTTTGTTTTCGATCTATGAGCTTGACTGTCCCTCTGGTATCTTTCATCCCTCTTTGAGTGAACACTTACCCTAACAAAGTGTATGTATTATTGCACTTACCCTAACAAAGTGTATGTATTGTTGCACTTACCCTAACAAAGTGTATGTATTATTGCACTTACCCTAACAAAGTGTATGTATTGTTGCACTTACCCTAACAAAGTGTATGTATTATTGCACTTACCCTAACAAAGTGTATGTATTGTTGCACTTACCCTAACAAAGTGTATGTATTGTTGCACTTACCCTAACAAAGTGTATGTATTATTGCACTTACCCTAACAAAGTGTATGTATTGTTGCACTTACCCTAACAAAGTGTATGTGTTTTTGCAATAATCAAAATCTGCATCTTTGTAACATAAACAATCACATGATTTGGAGCTGCATTTATGGGAATCAGGTGATATTCCGTAAATCTATGAAAAATAAAATAATTAGATAATTATTATTTTAATAAAAATAGGATATATACATTTGCTTAAATAATAAGCCTATAGCTACTGAAACAAGAATGCACATGTTGTTGTACTAAGCTTACACCCACTCGTATATAAAAGTGTCAAAGAAAAGAATCATTGGTGTCACAAAGGTCTTAAAAGTTACAACTTATTACTGTTGAGCTGCTGACCTAATATAAAGTCATTCTGTTCAGAAGTATTGGAGAAATGTGCGACATTAAGGGTTGGTTAACTTTTTTTTCTAAAGGGAAAATTCACTAAAGAACTCTGATGATGTCAGTTAACTAAGGAAATGAATCTGTAAGGTGAACATGTCTATCTTCAGGAATTGAATTCACTCACACAATATTATCACCCTAGCTATCATACACCCATTAATTTGAGATGAACCTAATTCATAAAAGAACAATTTTCCAATGTCCCCTTGCAAATGAACATATTCATGGTAATTAAGTCTACGGCAACTCTTAATTCAAAGTATCAGAAAACAGGAAGTAAGTGTGTGATAGATAAGAATGCTAAGCTAATATAATGACCAAATACAAAGTCATTCTGTGTAGTGTTGGAGACTAGTTTGATGAAAAGTTTTGTCGGATGAGTTGGCATACAGAAAGACATCATGCAATCAATAAAGAGCAGTGGGGATATAATCTTTTTTTGTTTGGTTCTTTTGAACTTTTTAATAAATATCCGCCAATAGGTGAGTAAATTACAATGCAAATCTTTCATATTATTTCTACTTCCAAGGGCATATTATCTCCTGCAAAAATAGTTAACCAACATTGTCCACTTTTTCATACAAAATTTCATAAAAATATGATAATAAATAAAGGCATGAGAGTGCTTACAAACCAGTTCTCCATATAAATTACATTTGAGAGGGAGATAACTCCTGTTTAAAAAATACTTGATATGTACTGATTTTCGAAATTGTCCAAGACATTAAAATCTGAGAAGAAATGTGGCTTGAGTGTGCTCAAAATGTATTTTCCATTTCCATCACCAAACCAATGTAACGGTTTGTTTCATTTTGCAAGTACTTTTGTTTTTTATATTCCCTTATCTTTGTGAACATCAGATGTGAACTGTCTATTCTGTCTCGTTTTTTATAAAATTTAATTATTATTTTTAATACTGTATATGTTCTATCAATGAATATGGATTGGGATATTAAATAAGTTTCTGCCATTACATGTCAGGCTGACAACACAAGGATACAATATTGACATGGTAGAACATGATGAACTTGCGACCTGGAATGACTTGAACCTTGGATGATTCAAATATATATATGTCTCATCCATCCGACTTCGACACAATGAGTTTTGACTGTATAGGATTTAGCTTTTGCTAATTTTGAGGGCTGTACAGTGACCTATAGTTGTTTATATTTACGTAATTTGGTCTCTGTTGGATAGTTTTCTCATTGGCAATCATACAACATCTCCTTCTTACTGTACATATGGTAATGACTTACACTGCAACACCTTGTAGAAGTTGTGTAGACTTTCTGTCTTATGACAATAAATATATTGCTGTTAGGAACTGGATCTATCTTGTATCTAGCATTGGAATTCATTCTATCAACACCATTTGTTGCTACCTGAAACCACAACAGGTATACAATTAATACACTTGATTTATTAGTTTTCATTGATTAAATGCCACTGTAAGCACTATTGTCTATTTCGTGGCAGCCATTTTATATTGGTAGTGGAATCCAGAGTGCCCTGCAAGAACCCCTAACCTTTGGCAGAAAACTGGCATCCCTGGTCAATTAACATAGGAGTCAAATGTACCTGGCAAGTGTGGAGCTCGAACTCACAATCTCAGTGTTGACAGGCTAGTGGTACAGTAGTTGAACTACTCGATCAGACCACTCGGCCACCGAGAACCTTAATACAGTTGAGGAAACAGTACCAATGTCACAGATATTGGTAAATGAGACGACCTTCAACATCTTACTGTAACCATGGAAAAAAATGTAGCTGCAGTTTTTATTCCGCTATTTTTGCAGCAAGAATTGATACATGAAAATAAGACTGCCTTCCACATCTTACAGAATACAGGGAAATTTTCACTGCTGTTTCTTTCTTGCTATTTTCAAAAGAATTAATATGTGAAAACGAAACTACAGCAACTATTTAATGGAGTCGATTCATAGTACAAAGACTGAAAAGAATAAATATAATTCTGATATCCTGAATTCACATTCAGTCGCGACATTATGAACAAAAGTCATGTTTACACTAGTTGGTTTATGTCATATAAATATCAAGGCAATATCTAGGCATGGTCAGATATATAAGATGTGATGGTTTCATACAGAAACATGGTGAGCCCACTTATTGTGTTAAGTTTTTTTTTTATAGTTTTTTTTTAAATAACACATTTTTCTATGCCCTCAATCATCTTTTTCTGATAAAACATTTTGGCATTTGGTATTACCCAAAATCTCCTTTAATTTTATAATTATGTAACCCCAAATCTCCTTTTAATTTTATGATTATGTATAACAACAAAAATTCAAAGGCAGAAAAAATAAATTTACCCTGTATGTAAACTGCTCCTTGATAGTTTCAAAATCAATGCATGATGCTTTGTTCATCATATTATTTTTTATTAGGTCTTCAGCAATTGCACTTTCCTACAAATAAAACAACAAACAAATCAATTATACATATATATATATATATGAGTCTAAAAGATTGTGCAACAATACCGATAAATAGATGGAAAACAAAACACTAAAAAGTGTTGAATATCATCGCACAAAGATGGAAAAACTGAACAGATGATATAAATTATACAATAATTGCAAATATTTCTGCTCAACAAATGGCCTTCCTCAGTGTTAAAAGTTTTAACAATACTGATATATAATGTATAAGGTGTAAACATAGATCAGTAATAATACAGGTAAGTTTTGGTCGATTGATTTTAATCCAAAATCCTGAATATCATAATATAAACATTAGACTGGAAATTTAATTATTTCTTTCTATTGATTCCATCTGGATGGAGGACACCCAGTGTTTTTATCCAAAACTTCTCCCGATTCTCTCTTTGCCTATTTTGCCATGTACAATCCTGTTCGATCACAAGGATCTTCATGTGATCAAAATCTTTCAGATTGTGATCTGGTAACCTGAAGTGTTGGCTGACAGGAATATACGGTTTTTTTGTGAGGTTACTCCTGTGGCCATTAAGGCGTTTGTGAAATGGCTGCATAGATTCACCAACATATCGGAGACCTCATATAGGACACTCAAGAACGTAAATCACGTTTGAGCTTTTGCAGTTGACATTGCAGAAGATCTTGTATGTCTTTTCTGTGGTCTTACTGTGAAATGTTGATGAATGCTGCAATTGGTTGCAACATTTGCAGCGCTTATCCCCACATGGCTGGCAATTGCCTACAGTATGGTTAGGTTTGGAAAGGTCAGCACGGACAAGTATATTTCTCAGGCTGTTAGGTTGTTTGAAGGCAATCATGGGAGGCTCAGGAAAGATTTTGGATAACTTAGAATGTTTCTCGATTGCTGTCCAATGATCACGAATGGTCTTGAAACTATTTCTCAGGCATGGATGGTAGGTGAGCACACATGGGATTCTTTTACTTTTCTGTTTTTCTTTGTAAGTTAGCAGACTGCTTCTAGGGATGGATTCTGCTTTTCGAAAACTATTTTTGATGTTTTTGTGTTTATATCCCCTTCTTTTCAAATGTCCTTTGAGCCAACACTTCAGGTTACCAGATCACAGTCTGAAAGATTTTGATCACATGAAGATCCTTGTGATCGAACAGGATTGTACATGGCAAAATAGGCAAAGAGAGAATCGGGAGAAGTTTTGGATAAAAACACTGGGTGTCCTCCATCCAGATGGAATCAATAGAAAGAAATAATTAAATTTCCAGTCTAATGTTTATATTATGATATTCAGGATTTTGGATTAAAATCAATCGACCAAAACTTACCTGTATTATTACTGATCTATGTTTACACCTTATACATTATATATCAGTATTGTTAAAACTTTTAACACTGAGGAAGGCCATTTGTTGAGCCGAAATATTTGCAATTATTGTATAATTTATATCATCTGTTCAGTTTTTCCATCTTTGTGCGATGATATTCAACACTTTTTAGTGTTTTGTTTTCCATCTATTAATCGGTATTGTTACACAATCTTTTAGACTCATATAATTTTCCCTGTTTGTGTAGTATTGTCAATTTTGATGATCCAATACCTATTAAGTTTACTGGTTGGTAGATTCTTATAGACTCTATATATATATATATATATATATATGTAGAATATAAACTTAAATATCAGGTAAATTAACTGCTTTTATTAATAATCATGCAAGATTGATTAATTGATTGATTCGTGTTTAATGCCACTTTCAGAACTTTTGGCTATTTCGTTGGTGGTCAGTATTTATTGGTTGATGAAGCCGGAGTACCAGAACATCACCAGCATTCTTCGGTATGAAAACTGACAATTCTAGTCAAATAAGATTGGAGTCAAACGCACCTGCCAGGTGTGGGATTCGAACTCACAACATCAGTGTTGACAGGCTAGTGATACAGTAGTACTACTTAAGACGGATCGACCACCAAGGCTCTTTTAAATCAAGAATCATAACCCTGGTCATGCAGGGTAGTAAAAATACAACCACTGACCAAAATCTTTATTTTGCTCCAGCTTGATTCAATACTTTCATTTGTTTCATTGTGATTCAAAATTTAGGCTTGTTTACATCAAATTAAGTTATATTGGGCAACTATATTTATAAATAGCTGTGCCAAGACCTCATGATAAGCCCTTATTGTGCATATTGAAATCGTGCAAGAATAGATTTGGATATTTTGAAGACATTTAATCATAAGCAAATAGAATGGCTCTGTAGAAAAACAAGCCTAAGGATGCTGTTTTTTAAATCAAACAGTTTGTTATGTTCACTAATTCAAACAATTATGTAAAGTTTCTACTCATTCAATCCTAGCAAACTCTCAAGTTATGGCACAGTATGTGAAAAAATTACTAAAATCTGACAATTAAATTCCCATAACTCTAGAGAGACACACCAGAAAGTTTAAAGTAATAAAAAGGGACCTTCCTTTCATCAATCCCTACAATAATGTAACAAAAATTTGCCTTAAATGTAAAAATTAAAGTTCTGTAACTCTGCACAACAAACCCAAAAAACTAAAAATATCACAACTGAGCTACAATAATATTAAGTTCAGAGGAAATCAGTTCAGGAATACTGGAGTAATTGTGCCATTAGCTAAAAGAGAGGAGAAAGATACCAGAGGGACATTCAAACTCATAAGTCAAAAATAAAACAACTCCATGGCTAAAAATGAAAAAGACCAACAGACACACAATAGTACACAAAACACAACATAGAAAACTAAAGACTGAGCAACTCAAACCCCACCAAAAGCTGGGGGTGATCTCAGGTGCTCAGGAAGGGTAAGCAGATTCTGCTCCACAGCTAAAAATTGCCTTAAATTTAAGGGTCAAAGTTCTGTCTGACCTCTGATCTGAGCAACAGGTAAAATGTGCCTTCCTATTTCAATTTCCTATTACTTTTTTCTATTATTCAGGTTTCTTAAGTGATCCCAAGTCCTTAAGCATTCATTTGATACCCAAATTACCCAAATAATTTACTTATTTACAAAGTTACAGAACTATTTTGTTTAAAAAATATACTACTAATTCCTTGTATGTTCTTTCTGACAGTGCCGAAATTAGTGGTTCTTTACCTATTAACTTACCTTGTAAATAACATGAACATTTTCTATTTTGGGCGAGGTAGAATCAGGATTAACAAAATCTTCATGTATAACTATGTAACCACTGCTGTCTAATACAAAACAACTGAAAAGTAAAATAAGATATCACATAATTTGAATACCCATAGCTATCTTCTGTAAAAATAACTGTGGCTCTTTTCACAAAAATTAATAAAGGTTATAAGTACTTGTAAGTCATACACATTTTAGTATGAATAATGATCAATTTTAATCGTAAGATTTTTCACATGTAAGATTTTTTGTGAAAAGAGTCGCTGCATGGTAAAATTCAAATTAAAACAATTAAGGGGGAGATTTTGCATGACAACCTTTTCTAAATCGAAATTAAAGTAACAAGATACAAAGTATTTTGATATTTCACAAAAAAAAGGAGGAAATTAATTATCAATACATGAATTTTAGCAACAATATTCTTGATGACTTAGGATATTTCACAATTTTAATCCTAGTATCCATGATGAGTTTATTTACAACCACTAGGTCAGTGCCACTACTGGTGGAGGTGACTCCCCGAGGGTATCACCAGCCCAGTGGTCAGCACTTCTGTGTTGGAATGAATTATCATTGATAAATTCATTAGTATAAATTAACTGTTAACAGAAATTTTAATGCTTCCAATTACTCAGGATTTTCTACCCCCATCTTATAGATTACCTTAGCTGTATTTGTCAAAACCTTTTGGAATTTTGGGTCACCAATGGTCTTCATCTTTGTACTTTATTTGTTTTTTGTAGCCACACACTGATAAGTCTTTTGTAGATGAAACTTACCTCTACTGTTGTATATTTTGATTTACCTGTACTGTAGTGTATTCTCACTTACCTGTACTATTGAGTATTTTGACTTACCTGTACTGTTGTATATTTTGACTTTCTTGTACAATTGTATATTTTGACAAACCTGTACTGTGGAATATTTTGACTAACCTGTACTGTTGTGTATTTTAACTAACCTGTACTGCTGTATATTTTGACTAATCTGCACTGTTGTATATTTTGACTAACCTGTACTGTTGTGTATTCTCACTTACCTGTACTGTTGTATATTTTGACTAACCTGAACTGTTGTATATTTTGACTAACCTGTATTGTGTATTTTGAGTAACCTGTACTGTTATATATTCTAACTAACCTGTACTGTTGTATATTCTGACTAACCTGTACTGTTGTATACTTTGACTAACCTGTACAGTTGTGTATTTTGACTAACCTGTACGATTGTATATATTCTGACTAACCTGTACTGTTAGGTATTTTTACTTACTTGTACTGTTGTACATTTTGACTTACCTGTACTGTTGTATATTTTGACTTACCTCATTTTTGTACCTGTATTGTTGTATATTTTGACTTACCTGTATTGTTGGGTATTTTGACAATCTGGGTAAGTGTTCTGCATCATCTGATAAAAATAGCTGATTGTAAAATCTGTTCCAATCACTGCTACAGTCTGACTAGATACTGGTCCACTTCCACTGAAAAAAAGTTTTAATGTATATTTCACATCCTAATACGCATTAATGCAGTGACATTTATTTCAAACATATTCAGGATGAAATCAATTATTGTGTGACGTCATGTACCATTCTTTAAGGTATGTTCAGATCTCAGCAACTTTAACTCAGAATTAAAATCTGACATCTACAATGCTCAATAAAAAATATCAAAACTAAACTACCCAATAAAATTCTATCTTTATAATGTCTTTCATCTTGTTATTTTGTGTGACCCATACTGTTAAGGTTTAATTTTAGACCAAATGTTAATTCTTTGGAATTCTGACACTAACATTTGTCCATTTATCAGGATTATGCTGTTGTATGAGTCCTCGAAAATCTGTTCAACTTTTATCATATAGATGTATTTACTGATTTTATTGTGTTGGGCTGCTGTCACATTGACATTAGGCGTACTCTCACTCCTTTTATTCACAGGTATGACAACAGTATCCTTTCACAATTTAGAGAAATAGTGATTATGTTTACCTAGTGACCAAATGTAACGTGTAATGAAAGTGGTTGTCCTTGGTTCATGTCTGTCATATAGTTTCAATACAAATTAGGCCTTTAGTTTTAGTCGTTTGAATTGTTTCATAGTTTTTATGTTGGGGCCTTTTATAGCCAATTACAAGGTATGGGTTCTTTTTTGTCATTGTTGAAGGAGGTATGGTTGCCTATAATTGCTTACAACCACTTCATATGAATATTGGTAAATAGTTGTCTCATTGGCAATCATACCACATCTACTTATTTTTATAATGAAGGTTGAAGATGAGTGTTAAATTCTTGATCCTAATATTCTTTACAACACAGGAGAATCAATCTACTTCCAGATGTCTTTAAGTTATTTTAGTCATTGGGTTGCTGTCAAATTGATGTATACTCCCCCCCTCCCCCCCCCCACATTCCTTTATATGAGGATTGTTAGGGGGGTACCTTCATGACGAATAACAGTAAAAATGTTGCCAAATGACATGAATGGTAATTTTTGGTGCATGACAATAAAATGTACATCTAAAGATACTGATTTTGACGAATCACGTTAATTTTTTCTCCAAAATAACAGTAACCGAATATCATTTGAGATCTCTGATGAATCATAAGTATATTTTGATGAATCACAATAAATTTTTAATCAATTTGAAGCTAATGGTAGCCAAAAATGACTGTTTGACGCCTGACAGTATAGTGGCATTCCTACCCTCTTATATTAATAATCATATTCAGACAATCAAATTTTCAAACATAAATCTGCCAAAGATTAAATTTTGAAATTTTTAAACATTAATCTGCCAAAGAATAAATTTTGAAATTATCAAATTGTTTAAATCCACTCCTTTAGGGTTGCCTTCTACATTTAGTAATGGTTATATAATAAACTATATAATTAATAATTGATTAAGATACAATGGCTTACCTCCCTTCTGTAATAGTTTTACTAAGTGTAATCAGGTACCCAGAGCCCCAAAGATCCAGGTAAGGAGCAGACACCACATCCTGTCCTTTCAGGGCTATAGTTCTCTTATACCTACAATAATATAATTATAAGCTGTAGACATGGTGTTGTTCTCTGTCAGTTCATGCATGCAGATCTAGGGTTCCAGGATATAAGTGTGACAAAAATACTTGTTGGAGCAAAGGACAGACAGACAGACACACAGTTCTCTGTCAGTTCATGCATGCAGATCCAGGGTTCTAGGATATAAGTTTGACAAAAATACTTGTTGGATGAAAGGACAGCCAGACAGACAGACAAACAGACACACAGTTCTCTGTCAGTTCATGCATGCAGATCCAGGGTTCCAGGATATAAGTTTGACAAAAATACTTGTTGGATGAAAGGACAGACAGACAGACAGACAGTTCTCTGTCAGTTCATGCATGCAGATCCAGGGTTCCAGGATACAAGTGTGACAAAAATACTTGTTGGATGAAAGGACAGACAGACAGACAGACAGACAGACAGACAGACAGACAGACAGACAGACAGACAGACAGACAGACAGACAGACAGTTCTCTGTCAGTTCATGCATGCAGATCCAGGGTTCCAGGATATACGTTTGACAAAAATACTTGTTGGATGAAAGGACAGACAGACAGACAGACAGACAGACAGACAGACAGACAGTATATTAAACATCATCAACTTTTCATTAAATTTGAGGTATCATATGAAAGGAAAGGGCAGGTAAAGGAAGGTTAACAAAATCTATAATGTAATGATAAATAAATTGAGTTGTTCATCTGATATCAACTTACCATCCCCTTCTTGTGTGGTCATAGTTTTTAGGTAGTTCAACACCTGGATATAGCCTCATCACCCCATCTGCTGTACCGATATATCTCCATACAACAAATTCAGATAACTCTCGACTATTTTTCCAGATATTTTCAGCGGGAAAAGTCGAGGAAACAGAATTTAATATGGATTCCTGAAAGATAATTTATATCAAAAAGATAATTCATATCCGTGTGTGTAGTGATGTCATAGATTTTAACGAACGTAATCAGAGCATCACTGGTAAATTATTAAGTCAGGGATTTCATTACCATAAATTATGTAAAACTTTTACTAAATTCTTTCATAGATAGAAAGATTTGATTAGTAAATTTGGCTGTACCTGTAGAAAACTGATTAAAAACGGTATTTCACATCCTAAATTTTACGGTAATATTGTACTTAAAGCGCTGAAATCACTATGTGATCCGTGTAAACTCATCGAACCTTTAAACAAACTTATTAGTAAAGGTTATCTTACCAATGTTGTAATTAGATCTTTGAATATAGTTTACATTGGCACTAATATCGATTTTGTCATCAGCAAATTAAAACATAACTAAATTTGTATTCTTTTCAAATGGGATGTGTAAAGACACACATACGTTCATTTTGATCTATAAAGAGGTTAACTCCTAACTAGCCTACTGCCTGTCGATACATTTATTTTTGGCATTGCAAAAGTCACGTCTTCTTTGACTGTCCATGACGTTAAAATACTAAATCCCTGGGATATGTTTTAGTTGATTTTAGTCTCTGATGCATGAATTTTTATTATTAATTGTTTTTAGCTTTTAACTAGCTGTCAGTAACTGCGAGTACTCAAAAATCTTACTTTCTTGTTTATGACCTGTTGATACTAATTGTAATGCTTTTTCATGTTTTGTTATTTAATGTTATTCAGGGTTATATCTGGTCTATATACCAGCTTTGATAACTGTTTGGTATTACTATAAATTTTCACTTCTTCGTACTATGAACATCAAAATTATTTATTTTGTAAAAATATTTCCTTTCTCTATTTGAACTGTACACGTATACCTAACAACAACATTATTTTTATGTGTTTAAAGTAATTGCAAATTGCTGATATTTTTGTTCAAGTATATTGTTTTTCTTAAATTGTTTAACATTTCACTGCGGTATAAGACATGTTACTTTTATCATTCTTCCCTTAGTTTATTTATTTTGTATTTGCATTGTATCATAGATCAAATTTATTTGTTCAGTGTATGTTCAATGGTGTTAATATGTCTTTTGATTGAGTTAAGCCATTTCAATTGATATTTTACAGTGGGTTTTTCTATGTTGTGATGTTACACTATTGTTTCAGATAAGGGTGAAGGTTTTGTATCATTAAAACGTTTAAACCCGCTGCAATTGTTTGCACCTGTCCTAAGTCAGGAATCTGATGTTCAGTAGTTGTTGTTTGTTGATGTGGTTCATAAGTGTTTCTCGTTTTTTATATAGATCAGACCGTTGGTTTTCCCGTTTGAATGGTTTTACACTAGTAATTTTTAGGGCCCTTTATAGCTTGCTGTTCGGTGTGAGCCAAGGCTCCGTGTTGAAGACCGTACTTTGACCTATAATGGTTTACTTTTATAAATTTTGACTTGGATGGAGAGTTGTCTCATTGGCACTCATACCACATCTTCTTTAATATATCTACTAAATGATAATTCACATTACAGAACAAGAAGTTTTATATTTCATACTGATACTGAAAGTGCCCTCCATTTTGTCATAAGATGCAGCATATTAAAATTTAAAAAGAATTACTTGAACATTTTGGAAAAGACATGAAGCTCCATTTTTCAAGCGTACAAGGACCATAACTACAGAACAGCAAAAGTGATATGTCTATTATCAATCTTGACATCATTTTCTTCATTAGGATACACATACTAAAATTTGAAAAGGATATTGGTTGAAAGGTTCTCAAACTATTGAATGGAATTAATTGGAAGCCTGGTGACCTACCAGCCCATCCTTCTTCTGTACTTTTAATTTCTATGAAAACATTTGGTTTAATTTTAACACAAAATTTAATGACTTCACATACAAACCTTTAATCCTGGATTATTCAGAACATTTTTCCCTGTTAAAAAATCTTCATACTTGGTAATCATTGCTTTAGTTTCATCTACATCTAGGTAATTAAATGGCTCTAGGAATGCACCAGGAGTCAACATAACAACAGACTTATCTGTAACATAAAACTTATTCTATTCATCCTTCAGTTACATCTATATTACATGTAAAAACAGCATTTTAAGACAAATACAAATTTTGACTCAGGCAGAATAATTTGCATTTTTAGAAACATATTTATCCAATGGCTGACATTTCACTTTTCTGTAATTTGCCATTTCAGAATCTAAAGGATCATTGGTAATTTGATTGTTCTTTCTTGAGAATAAAAACATCTCACATCCTTGGTTGATTTTCCATCGTTTAGAACATTTTAAAGCAATCACAATGTTTTGGTGAATGCTTTAAAAAATATAACCCAGAATGCAGTGGATTCTAAAATGGCGAATAATTTAAGTAGATGGCCTCAGACCACAATTATTCTTCCCATTGGTTACAATGCAATTCTTTGTAAAAGTCAAATTGAATTAAAAAATTTGTACCGCATCAAACATGAAATATATTTAACTGCTCATAGACCATTATTATTCTAATAAAGTATGCTCGTCCTAGGACAATCCATCAGTGCTTTTTCTTTTGAGAGCCCTATTAACATGCCAATGGTAGGATTTGAATCTTGAATAAATGACGAAGGCTTATTTCTTCCCTACTTTCATTTTGGCCAAATCACTCCTTTCACTTTCAACAATAAATTTTTTTCCATATGTTTTACTTATTTCAATATATATGCAACTGAAAGGACCACTTAAATAGTAAACATTTCAAAGAAAACAGTAGTCAGAATACTCAGGAAGAAATAACCCATATAATTATTGGGAACTATATTCCTAGACCATGAACAAAGGGAATTAATTGTGGTCTGAAGCCAGATAAATGCTGTTAAAATAAATGTGGATAGTGTCCACAAGTGGACACAGATGATGCCCCCGCTTGCATATCATATAGTTATAAAGGGACATAACTGAAGAATGGTAAACGTGAAGCTACATTAATTTGAACTTGATCTGAGTTTTGTGGTAATAAGCATAACATTTGGTTGAGGCTAACTTAAGTAGAGAACAGAAACTAAAAATTCAGCAATTTTTCTATTTGTAAACATGTATGACTCTAGAACGGTTGTGTATAAGTTTCATAACATTTGGCTGAGGCAAACTAAAATTAGAAAACAGAAACAAAAAAATTGTACTTGATCTTAGTTTTGTGGTAATGAATATTATGTATAGGTTTCATAATGTTTGGTTGGGGCAAACTTAAGTTACAGAATAAAAACTAAAAATTTTGCAATCTTTCGATTTATAAAGGGGCATAACTCAATAATGGTTAAAGTGACACTACCCAAATTCAACTTGATCTGTGTTTTATCAGTGGAAGTCAAAATTAAACATTGCATTGTATAAAGCATTGATTGTAGTTAATTAAACTATAATCATGGACAAAGGAAGATAACTCCAATTTTAAAAATTACTTGATATTTAGAAGAAAATAAAAATTTTGCAATTTTTCCATTTAAAAAGGGGCATAACTCTAGAACAGTTAAAGTGACGCCACCAAAATTCACACTTGATCTGTGTTTTGTGGTAATAAGCATTGTGTATAAGTTTCATAACATTTGGTTGAGGCAAACTTAAGTTAGAGAACGGTATCTAAAAATTTTGCAATTTTTCCATTTATAAAGGGGCATAACACTAGAACAGTTAAAGTGACGCCACCAAAATTCATTCTTGATCTGTGTTTTGTGGTAATAAGCATTGTGTATAAGTTTCATAACATTTGGTTGAGGCAAACTCAAGTTAGAGAACGGAAACCCAATTTTGGGACGTACGTACGTACGTACGTACAGACGGACAAGGGTAAAACTTAATGCCCCCACCGCTACGGCGGGGGCATAAATATCTATGATTAACAATCTATAGCAGATAACTTTTGAACAAATGTGATGACTTTAGGTGAAGAAAATTAAACAGAATATATATTTAGAAACAAGCTAAACCTTTTGTGAAATAACAAGACAAATGCGTTATCTGTTATATTTGATAAAAAAATCTATGATTTATATTCTAAAGCAAGTTAATTTTGAACATATGCTTTCAAATAAGGGGAGATAATTAAACTGGATATTACTGATAATAAGCTTTTATTCTATGACTCCAGGGACTTAGGTATATGACAGAAGGGCTGAAATCCATAACTTAACAGTAGCAACTATGACATTGACGATACGACGGATGCAGCAAGTAATGACTTTATTCATTGTTAAGTCTGTATTCTATTTTCTGTGGTTTATCGATAATGATTCATGTACCTTGTTTAGCTAGTTGATTCTTGTTTAGGTGTTCCTCATGATTAAGTAAACTGTGACTTTGTTAGAACTCCTCTTTTTAAAGGTGATCTTGGTGATTCTTTTATACCCTGTATTTGTAGCTCTCTTGTTTAGGTGTTCTCTGGTATTCTTTTATACCCTGTATTTGTAGCTCTCTTGTTTAGGTGTTCTCTGGTATTCTTTTATACCCTGTATTTGTAGCTCTCTTGTTTAGGTGTTCTCTGGTATTCTTTTATACCCTGTATTTGTAGCTCTCTTGTTTAGGTGTTCTCTGGTATTCTTTTATACCCTGTATTTGTAGCTCTCTTGTTTAGGTGTTCTCTGGTATTCTTTTATACCCTGTATTTGTAGCTCTCTTGTTTAGGTGTTCTCTGGTATTCTTTTATACCCTGTATTTGTAACTTATTTCTTAACATACTCCTGCAGTGTTGACAACCTTGACAATAAACGAGACCTTCAGACTTGGACATTCCTATAAGATTGAAACAGACAATCCAGTATAACCAAATAGTATATCAATGAGTTTGCTGCTGACAACAAGATTATTTAATTTCTATTTTTTATTAATAAAATATATAAATAATTTGGCCCTTGGGAGTCAAGTACTCAGCAAAGGGAAATTTAGCTCCAGGCCCTGTCGACGACACTTGGTATAGATGGACCAAGCCCCATGGACATGGACACTCCGTCAACCAACCGGAACCAGATGAGTTCCTATAAGGGGATGAAGCGTTGCTCCATCTCATAGCAGGTGGCTACGATAAAAGGGGGTTAGATTGACGGTGGAGAGAGAAATAAATGTAGATGTATTACATTTAATGACTTGGGGGAAATGAGAAATTAGACCAGTGGTCAATTTCGAAAGGGAGTTTTGAAATTGAAGAAAACCACTGGTTTGCTGAGACTGCTCCCATATACAGTGAGTAGTTGAAGGTGATCAAAGGGAGGTGGGTGGGTATTTTGTAACTTTATGATAACTAATGTATGACTTTCCCTGTCAGCAGCAAAACTCAAAATGAACAACTACCTAGCATCCTGGGGAAATTTGAGAAGGGTATGTATCACTCCTTTGCCTTATAACCAAATAAGGAGTGATCATGCAGCCAGAGGCATGTCAGTACCAAACATTTGCTACACACATGCAAACTATGATGTGTCATCAATAAACAACACTTATACATAATATAAGCTTCTAATAAAACACACTTTTGAGAAGTAATAAAAAAACTGAATTGGTAGACACATGGTTTTCTCCATTTCCTGAAAATAACTAATATAAATATTGTTCTATCAATGAATTTTTATAAATAAAAAAGTTTTTGCTTTACTTGCCAAAGAGCAATTTCTCCTTGTATCTGCCAAATCAAAGCATCACGTACTGAACAATATTCAACTTTCTTTTAAAAAAGTTTATGAATAATTTTTCATAGTTAAAATGGGCATTGATAATTTCACTTTTCACTAAAATTTATTATAAAATCTGGCGCTATTATGTACAATCTATATACTTTGGTGATAAAACATCTGATTTTTCCGCTAAAATGTCCTCCCCGATCAAGATGGACCACTTAAATTATCTTGATTATTAACTTAACTTGATGAAATTATTTAAAGTTACTAACATAAAAGCTCTACCATTTCATTGTTTAGGACAAAAAAAATAGGTATATTTCCGGTTGCATGCCCCCAAAAAATAAGGTTGGTGGGTCATTTTTTTTATTTAACAATTTTTTATTTCTTTAATCAATCTCATTATGAAGTTATTTGAACCAGTGTTTGAATTTTTTTTAGTGTGAAACTGTCATGAATGTTTGTTTATGGCTGCAACAGATCTGTGAGCACACTAGATAAGCAAGTCATTTATTTATTATCATTCAGTCACCAAAAACACTTTTACAAATAGCGCAAATTATAACAAGATGAGACATGGTAAAGGAAGAGCTAAAAAAAAAGAGCTTTATTTTCCGATCACATCGAAAATTACCAAGTTTTTATTTTTTTTTTTTTTTTGGTCGGAGCCTATAAATTAGGATCGGTGGTGCTGCAGGAAACAAACCTATTTACAAAAATATTACAAAAAATGTTTAATTGCTCAAACAATATATTATATTCTTATTTTTAATAGACTTAAATAAAGATTAAACAATGGTTTATAAGTTCCCTGTGAAAGACTTTTTTACAGAAAACTAGATTTTTTCATGATTTTGGGGGAATGAAAAGTGGGTATATTATACACAAATGCGTACTATACATGGCCCATTACTGTAAACAAGAGTGCACAGTCAGACATGCTGAAATGTCTTGCCTGCCTTACTGACCATGATTGATTTTATGTTGAAAGTCTTAAAGATAAGGGTTTTACTGCAGCATCATATAAAGTAAACATTGTCAATGATTCATGAGGTCAAGGTCAGATTAATCCTGCAGAATAAAAATGTTCACAACTGAATTCACAGTAAAATACAGTACCTTTTGTACCCAATCGTGTGAAGTGTTGACAGTTTGGCCCTTCTGCTGTTGTATAGTCCAATCGATGATAAACAAAACTGTCTTGTGTAACAGTCTGAGGATCTAGTATAGGCTGTTTATCTTTATCACCAACAACAATACACACGGAAAAATTACTCCGACTGACCTGCAAAAATAGAATCCTTTGAATTGATTGACTGATTGATTTTTGTTTATTTTCAATTTCAGCACTGTTGTACTATTTTGTGGCAGTTTAAACCTTTGAATAAAAGTGTGAACCTGTTTTTTTTTATATTAAATCTGAAAATTTATTAACTTAGAATTTCTGCATACAGTTGTATGAGACAAATAATGTCAATGACAAAGTAGGCGAGACTGTTTATTTATATTAAGCAATCCTGAAATATCAAACTTCATACCTTAAACTTTTTACGCCATGCCTTTCTGAAGCGTGATTCTCATTATGAAATCAAGATCTAGATGAACATGCGATATAATGTTTAATTCTCTTCAGTTGCTGTGCCACGAGTGCATGGTACAATCTAATTATGCATATTGAAATTGTTGCAAGAATAAAATGGGATGTTAAGAAGTCATTTAATCAGAAGCAAATAAAATGGCCCTGTAGAAAAAAATGCTGGATGATACCCTTAGGCATATAAATATTGTGTCAAATATGCATGACTGATAAAAGTCCAATAATTCAGGAATGACAAACCAGAAAATTTTCAAAATTAAGGGACCTTGCAATATTTATCAGGCAGGTGGGACTGGTGCAAACCAAAGTAGGACAAAAACATTTTTCATCCACTTCAGGCATAGGGTCTCCACTTTTTTCACATTTGGTGACCATAGGACATGAAGATTTAATTGTTCAAACTATTGCTATCAAACAAAACAAAAAAAAAATAACTAAATATCCAAACAAAACATTTGTACAATCAATATAATAGTTTAGCTTATAACAAAACACAATATAAAATAACATATTTGTTATATTTAAAAGTGAAGTTTGTTTGTTAAAATATATTAAATTAAAAATATATGCTGCTAAACTTTTTTTCTCAGTATACATGTTTTATAATAGGTAACACACTTAAATGATATTTACTGTAGTAACTGACTGATTGGCAAATTTTATTAATGTTCAAGTATAACATATCGGCTCTTTATTTAATTGCTTAAATCATCATCTTTGATATATTATCATGGACATACATGATATTTTCATATTCATATGAATTAACTCATTTTTAACAATTTACAGACAAATTAAAAATGGACATTAAAAAGCAAGAAATAATCATCAAATGGACAAATTAAATGAGGAAAACTCTTTCTAGATGAATTTGAACTTGTTTTTATAAAACATGATTTTCTTAGTATCTTTATAGATTTTGACAAGTCAGGGGCAATAACTCTTCGACCTGTCATCTAATTTCCCTGATATTTTTTATGATTGTCATAATCGTAGAAACTTATCGTGAAAAAATACTGTATATTTGCAATTTACATTGTTTATCTACCTTTAATATACATGTACATGTATACAATTTTCAAAATATCCTATTGATTTAGAATTAAGGCAAAATTTTACATTAAGGGACATAACTCATATACTAGTAAGCATATTATCATATGCTGAATTACCAATGCAGGGGTGGATCCAGCCATTTTTAAAAGGTGGGTCCCAACCCAGGATAAAGGGGGGTTTCCAACTATATGTCCCCATTCAAATGCATTGTTCTTCAAAAAAAAGGGGGGGTTCCAACCCCGGAACCCCACCCCTGGATCTGGCCCAAAGCAATTATTGTGTTTATAACAGAGCATGTATATATTTTAAATATACAATGTTACTTTATCTATTCTAGTTTTCAAGAAAGCAATTATGGTCTAATTTAATCAAAAAATTTATCAGAAATAAACCAAACTACCAAATAATCTGGCATTTTGTAAGATCAATATACAATTGAGATAGCTGTAGAGTGTTATGAAAATCCAAGTTGATTTGGAAAAGTTATACAAATTTTTAAAGGTAACTATCTGAATTTTGTCCAAACTGAAAATTCAAGCTTTTTTTACCTATTAATTAAATGCTTAAATTTGACAGCAATAAACCAAACTACCAAACAACCTGGCATTCTGTAAGATCAATATTTAATTGACATGATTGAGATTGCTGTAGAGTTATATGAAAATCCAAGTTGATTTGAAAAAATTATAGAAATTTTTAAGGGTGACTATCTGAATTTAAACTGAACTGAAAATTCTAGCCTTTTTTACCTTTTAAGTAAATCCTAAAATTTGACAGCAATGAACCCAACTACCAAACTGAGATAGATGGGCTGATTCAGACCAGTCGAGACTAAATTAAAAGGTCAAGACAGGTTGAGACTGGCCGAGACTGGTCAAGACTGGTCGCGCAATTTGTTGACATCATATTTAGATTATACAAGGATTATCAAGCACTCAATCAGACTTATTAAGTAAAGTCGAGATTAAATTTGGGTAAAGTCAAGATTATGATGAATCATGTCAAATCTGTGGTCGACCAGTCAAAATATGGGCTTTTCAGACTTAGTGGTTTGTAGTGTAATAGGACACATACTTTTTTTCTGCATGCAAGTCATAGGACATTGAGTTTTTACAGCCCAAATCAGTATAGGACATTCACTTTTTTTTGTCATAACCAGAATTTGCACCGGTCCCACCTGCCTGATAAATATTGCACCGTCCCTAAAATCAAATCAACATTCACTAATCCTAACAGCAGTGTTAAGTTTGTAGTAATTTGATCCAAGCATACTAGAACTGGTGCATGATATCTTATCAATTCCTTTTACTTATCTGATGGTTAAAGTCCCATAACTCTAGATGGTCATTCCAGAACTGTTTTTAAATCAAAAAGTTTGTTATGTTTACTAATTCTAACAATTATGTAAATTTTCCAGTAAATCATCCCAGGCAAACTCAAGTTATGGTACAGTATGTGAAAAATTTACTGAACCTAAGTCCTGTAACTCTGGAACTACAAAACATAAAATTTTAAAATCAAAGAGAGCTAAATCCATCTAACAATCCAAACAATAAGGTAAAGTTTGGAGTAAATAAATCCGGGAATACTATAGTAAGTGCAAGACATGAGAAAAATTACCTTAAATCTAACGGTTAAAGTCCAGTAACTCTGGAACAACATAACCCAAAAATAAAAAAAGAAATAAAGGTAGCTTTCATCTCTCAATCCAAATGTTGTGTTAAAATCTTATGAGAATTGGTAAAAGCAAGTTTTAGTTATCATACAAAGTGTTGGACGGACGGATGAACAGACATTGCATTGGTATAACATAATACATCCTGTCTTCAACTGACTATTAACACATTTGTTAGACAAAATTTGAATACTTGTTTAAGAATTTCTTATAAACATCCTTTTAAAACATACTGATACATATTTGCTCACCTCAATAACTTCTCAGTATCAAATTAAAAAAAAAAAAATTCAAATAATATGTTATAAATTACTTACTGGTTTCCAAAAATAATGTGATAGGATGTTTTCAGTTTCAATGCCCTCATACAGCATGTTACCCCGTGGAACTGTCCTCTTGGAATAAAGTGTTTCATTTCCTGTTTTTCCACTACAAAAATAGTTATAATAAAACAATAGCATTCCAATTTCTCCTGCCAATGGACATATTATATTGACCAAGGGCAATAACTCTTATATATATTATTTGATTCTTTTAAACTTTCAATAATACCATACAAGAAATGTAGGTATCACTAAGAATGCAATTTTCGATTAAAGTTCTTATTCCTATGGGCATAACTTCTGTTAACATTGAATGTTCATGATGTAGGCCAGTGCTAATGCAATGCAATGCAATTTCCATAGCATTTACTTTTAAGGGGGCATAATCCATTCAAAAATAATTGATCAGCACTGATTTTTCACTTCATTTAAATTTCATAATAAACTGTTGACGAAGAGGTATGTCTTGCCGTCCGGCAGAAAATACAGAAAAAGACAATCTGATGGACAGCAACATGCTAATTAATTCAAAGTTGCTGGACCATGACATATAGGGCAGCACGTCAAAAAGATTGTCAAACTAATATGTACTGATAGTAATGCAACTTTAATGAAAATATCATTGATCTTTTAAAAGAAGTTCCTATCAAACTGACTTTTTAGCAGAAACTTAACTTTGAAATTTACCAATAACTGGTAATTCAAAGTCACTGGACCATGACCTAGGGGAACGGCTTATAAATAGTCATCAAACTAATATATACTGATGGTATTACAACTTTATAAAATATCATTGATAAGTCACATGTGGTTCAAATCAAACTGACTTAAGCAGAAAACTTTACAATTGTTGACGTCCCCTTTGTTACCGCTGCCGGAAATGCAACACCTATATCTTGCCTACCATGATTTTCATCACAGACAGGACAAAAATCCGACAAGAAATGTAGGCTCAAGAGTGCTTACAATGCAATTTTCCATAGAATTTATTTTCAAATAAGCATAACTCTTTTAAAATTGGTTGATCAGCATTGATTTATAATTTCATCTGAAAGATTGCTAATATAAAACATGAAAAATCTGGCAGAGTATTGTACATGTTAGAGCACTTACAAGACCAGTGGACAGACAGACAGAAGCCTGCTATTTCTATGTCCTCTGCACCATGGACCCTAGGATATATGGAAATGGTCTTCTCAACCAAAAGTCTGATCCCTGTTAAGCAAAGCATTGACACAAGATAGTTTTTGACACAGGATAGTATCTGACACAGGATAGTATCTGACACAGGTTAGTATCTGACACGGGATAGTATCTGACACAGGAAAGTATCTGACACATGATAGTACCTGACATAGGATAGTATCTGACACAAGATAGTATCTGATCTGACACAGGATAGTATCTGACACAGGATAGTATTTGACACAGGATAGTATCTGACATAGGTTAGTATCTGACACAGAATAGTATTTGACACAGAATAGTATCCGACACGAAAAAATCTGACACAGGATAGTATCTAACATAGGATAGTATCTGACACAAGATAGTATCTGATCTGACACAGGATAGTATCCGACACAATATAGTATCTGACATAGGAAAGTATTTGACACAAGATACTATCTGATCTGACACAGAATAGTATCTGACACAGGATAGTATCTGACACAGAAAAGTATCTGACACAGGATCTGACACTATCTGACACAGGATAGTATCAGACACAAGATAGTATCTGCCACAGGATAGTATCAGACATAGGTTAGTATCTGCCACAGGATAGTATCAGACACCGAATAGTATCTGACAGACTAGTATTTGACACAGTATAGTATCTGACACAGGATAGTATCTGCTAGAATAGTATCAGACAGAGGATAGTACTTGACACAGGATAGTATCTGACAGAATAGTATCAGACAGAGGATAGTACTTGACACAGGATAGTATTTTTGATCACATCAGGTGAGCTATGTTTACTTTACTTACATTTTCATTGATTCTATAACCATGGTAGCTGATGTAGAGCGTTCTAAATGTTCAATGTTTACATATATTGGGTCATCCTTCACACTATCGGGCAATGGTAACAATGGATGAATGAGAGTTCTTCCTGTTCCATCAATAATGAATGCATATGATAACTCTCCTTGTCTGAAGTATGAAATGTCAGACATGATATCACTGACAGTTGCATCAGAACATGCAACGCCCACCAAATTTCCACCAGGTCTATAGACAGGCAGGCATATAGAGGAAATTAAACCTATAATTACATCATAATTAAAAATAGACAATTAAAAATATACAATAAATAAAAAATGCAGTTTGAGCTACTGCTGACAAATTGATACATTAGCTCTTGCTTTTCCGTGAATTAAAATTATTAATACAAATACCTAACAATTAGAAAAATTGAAGAAACAAAATTTGTCCCCCGTTTTTATAAAAAAAAAATCTGTCTGATGCAGTTGCTAAATAAATGGGGAATGTGTCCATGGGACACAGATGATGCCCATCTTGCATATCATATAAAGTTATAAAGGATCATAACTGAAGAACGGTAAAAGTGACGCTACCCAAATTTGTACTTGATCTGAGAAATAAGTTTTGTGTACAAGTTTCATAACCTTTGGCTGAGGCAAACTTAAGTTAGAGAACGGAAATGAAAAATTCAGCAATTTTTCCATTTGTAAAGGGGCATAACTCTAGAACAGTAAAAGAGATGCCAACAAAATTCAAAGTTGATCTGTATTTTGTGGTAATACGCAATGCATATAAGTTTCATAACATTTGGTTGAGGCAAACTAAAGTTAGAGAACAGAAACGAAAAATTCAGCAATTTTTCTAATTGTAAAGGGGCATAACGGTTGAAGTGACACCACCAAAATTCAAACTTGATCTGTGTTATGTGGTAATAAGCATTGTGTATAAGTTTCATAACATTTGGTTGAGGCAAACTAAATTAGAGAACAGAAACCAACTTTGGGACGTACGGACGGACATACAGAAGGACAAGGGTAAAACTTAATGCCCCCTCCACTACGGCTGGGGCATAAAAAATATTCTGGCTTCATCTTCAGCAAGTATGACATGTATCATGTCCAAAAAAATATTTCTTGCTTTGAATTGACTGAAAAAAATATTCTAGCTTGATTTGCATGGTAAAAAAAATTTGGCTTCATATAAAATCCACCCCCACCCTTCCCCTCCCTGAAAATCAAATTGTCCTAGCCTTAAGAAATAGGAAACAGACAAGAGAAGGTAGATAAGCACATGATTAAGCAACCAATATTAAACTTGGTACAAAATTTCAAGAAGCTATAACTTGTAGTTTCTGATAACTAGAGGCTATAAAGAGCCTGTGTCGCTCACTTGGTCTATGTGCATATTCAACAAAGGACACTCTCCAACATTGTAGACAAGAATAGAATTCATGACAAAAATCTCTGATTTGTTGATCTTGTATTGTTAATCATTTAGTCTGTTTAGTGTCCCTCTATCTTCTTTAGTTTTTGCTCATCAAAACACAAAAGAGGGTAAAAAAAAATCCTAATTTAAGGGCATTCACTCCTATAAAGAGTGACAGTCTACTAACTATATCCGCAAAATTTGACTTCTTAGTAGAAAATGTCTTGTTGATCATTTTTGTGATTTAAAAGGTCTATTTATCTATTATATATTTTAACATTTAAGGCAAAACGCAAAAAAAATGATAAAATCGTCATGTAAGGGCAATTACTCCAATAAGGAGTTGACAGACGATTTCGACCATGTAGATTTATTTGTAGAACTTGTCATGCTGATCATTTTTGCAATTTAAAGTATCTCTCTCTCTATTATATATATAGTTTTCAAGATCATAGGCAAATGGCAGATTCCATAAAAGAAAAGGAAATGTCTGTCAAAATGAACAAATAAATAAAAATAATACTAATATTAGCTGTAATTTGAATGATAATCTGTGAATGTTTTAATGAATAATAATGTTAAATGAAGCAAGAAAACCAATTATTGGGTATGATTGTTTCTGTTTAAAGTAGAAATGATCAAAACAAATTGAAAAAATGCTTTATGTTTGACAGAATTACTTCCCATTTTTTAACACAAGGTTTATGTGTTGCCATGCTTTATGTTGACACTGGTATAATGGCTTTTATTAGTGTAGTTTGATTATTCAAACATCCCTGTTTCCAAATCCATTGCTCTTTTTAAGTCAAAAAACATCTGTGATAAGATACCCCAATGATGCTTGTGGTCTAGTTTGGTTAAATTTTGGCCAGTAGTTTCGTCGGAGAAGATTTTGTAAAAGTTAACGACGACAGACGACGAAGACGAAGAAGGTGACGATGGACGAAGGACGGCAAGTGATGAGAAAAACTCACTTGGCCCTTCAGGCCAGGTTTGCTAAAAATGTGACAGCCATTTCTTATATGTGCAACAACCTGAAGAGCATATCTGTATGACGCAAACAGAAAGTATATACATGTAAGTAATGGATCTGAAAATGTGTTACACAGTAAAGTTAACCAACAGAATGCTTGGTATATATTATCAAGAAGCTCTGATTTGTAGTTGCTGAGGAAAATGCAACAGAAACTTCTTATATGTGAATCATTGATTATCATCATACTTGAATGAAGCAAACAGGGAATAGATAAATGACGATTCTGAAAATGTGTTATACAATATAACTTCCTAAAATACAGCTTGGTACCAAATAACAAGTATAACTCTGATGTGTAAACACTAAAGGAAAATTAAATGCAATGGAAACTTCTTATATGGGCAACAATGGGAATAACATACAAGTATCCAGCAAACAGGAAGTAAACAAGTGTCAGATCTGTAATTGTGTTACACAGTATAACTTACTGATAAAAAAAAAATGTTTGGTTTGTAGTTGCTGAGAAAAATGTGACTGAAATGTACAACTGACAGACAGAGAGTTAAATCATACCGCTCCTTTAGGATATAAATAATTGAGATGTCAAACAATAATATTTCAAGAAAAACCAAAATATACCTTATCTAGTGTTGTGGTACTAATAATTTTTTTTTTTTAAATTGAACCAAACATTAAATGTTCTCTTAACATAAACATACCTATCCCAAACAAATCCTGGTATGGTACAGAAAAAATTGGGTTCTGAATTTTTTCACTGCTACTGAAACGATTGTAATATGATGCCATCGAAGATCTGAGGAAGTCAGGATCAGAAATGTGCTTGAATTCACCGATCTTTAAACATGTGAAAAGAAAAATATAGATAATACAGAAATACAGATATTGGATTTTCCAATACATGTGCACTCATTTTAAGCTATTTAATTAAGAACAATTTGAGCAATTCAATGTTGGCAGGTAATTTATTTTGTCTTATGAGTCGATTCGTTTAATTTTATGTCAACAAATACAGATTTAATATCTGGTTGAAAGATGATACCTGACTTCACTGTTAACTCTCATTGCATAAATGTGACTTATAGTAACACAATAAACTCTTTTAGACTGATATATCTATTCAGATCTGAAATTGGGATAAAAAACTATAAAAGTCAATGAAGCTTAAAATGTAGGTCAAAGTGACCCGTTCATAAATTCATCATAAAGTACTCTTTTTGCTTATTCTACAAGCTATATGATAACATCGTCTGTTTTTGATTAAAATTAAATACTGTATAGCGGGTTATTTTCACGGGGTGTTTATTTTCGCTTATTTTGGTGGATAAAGGAAAATAGCGAAAATAAATTCCGCTAAAATTTATGCATAAGTACGATACTTTCCAAGAGCTGGAGCTTTTGTAAACGATGTATTTTTCCGTTCGGCGGGTCAATAACGGTTTATGTTAGTTTTAACAACATCAATGCCAAAGGGCATTATACGTAGTATTACATATATTTTATAAAATGGCTAATAGGTGTTAATTAGTTTATTAGTGTCAAATAATATAAGTGTAAGGTACTCTGTGAGAGTTTTAACCTTATCAATTAGTGTCAAATTATATTTTAGAGTTGCAAGTCACTCTTGGTTATTTTAAAACTAATTAGTACACTAGCACTTGTTTGTCAATTTTTACAACTTTTTAGCTACAACCATTTCGGTATCCGCCAAAATATTTAATTGGTATTTAAGAATCCACCAAAATAAAACCGCCAAAATTTTTCGTATACTTTGTTGCCCCTATAATCGCGAAATTTTACACCTGCGAAAAAAAACTCGCTATACCGTAATAGATTGCATAAATCAAATCTAAAAAAAAAAATAGGCATTTAACAGGGTATTTAAACTCCCGAATTATGTATAATGATGCAATCATTGAAAATTGATTCTGTTATTGTTAATTATATTATGTTATAAATTCGGCTGTTAGATTTCCCTGATTAAATAGTATCACATTTTTCACTTTAGGGTCTTTCATAGCATACTATATGGTATGGATTTTTCTCATTTTTGAAGGTCATACTGTGACCTTTAATAAATTACATCATAGTCATTTAAACTCAGGTTGGTAGTTGTCACTTTAGCAATCATACGTACCACATCTACTTATCTTAAGTACTCTAAAATTTTAGTAACAATACAATACCTGTATTTCACCATAACTAACATCAGTCCTTGTTTGTAAGGCCATATCTTTCAACTTCTGTAAGGCATTTACACTTAATTCTGAAATAAAATTATATGCAATGCAAAAGATTATATTGTTGTATGCATGTTTACAGTATGTTTGCTGAACCGAACATAATAAATTTTTGGATAACAGATTAAATGATCTCCCTTTTTTTATTTAAATTATTCGTAAAGAATTCTGCAGAACTCAGTGTCTCACCTGTTATTTGGTGCTGTCAGTTTAATCATTTGTGTGATATTGACTGCCAAATACTAAGTGCATTCATCAATAAAATATGGGTAAAATAATCAAACTTCTTTGCACAGATGCTATTTCAGGAAGAAGCAACTGTGCAAGTTTAAAAAATATGTTTTCAAAATTTTTGTCAGGATATTGTAGTTTGATCTTAAAAAATTTTGTGCCCAAGTTTCTCAAATTTCAATGAAGATTTGATGAAGTTATTGCTGTCTAGAAAACTTTAACCTTAGACTGTATCTTACTGTAAACTGCCAAAAAAACTAAGTCCGTTAATCAGTAAAATACAGAACAATGAAAAAAAAATATTTCAAAATATTGCTCTGAATACTGTCTTTAGATCATGAGAGGTTTCTGTCATCCCAGGTTAATATAATTCCATAAAAGTTTGACAAAGCTATTGCTGTTTAAAATTAGAACTGTCAACATAGCTGGACTCAATACCCTCCGTACATGCATTTTAATTGTTTCTTTGAAATTAAATTCAATGAGACAATGAAATTTTGAGATTTTTTGTATTCAGACTTTCATTTTATATAATCATTGCCTCTGTGTTAGATTGGCACATGGTTACTGATAGGTCATTCTGAAATGATTATACTGACCCAGGAATAAGTCTGAGGTTTGTATTCTGTAAATTTAGAAATTTAAAGGTCAAAGTCAATGTCAATATGATGTTTCTGCATCCAAAATTTTGTCAATCTAAGTGATACACCACAAATATTATGCACCAAACACAAATCAGACAATTATTCACTATTAAAGGGGTCAAAGGTCAAATTTAAGGTCAGAGTGACCTAACTTTGATATATGACACACACCCATCCCAGGATGCATCAGCATACCAAGTTTGGTCTCCCTATAAGTTCTATAGTACAAAAGTTGTGTGCAGACCACATATCAGACAAGGTTTTACTATATATCATAGGGTCAAAGTTCAGAGTGACCTGACTTTGGTAAATGACATGCCACCTACCCATGATTCAACTACATACCAAGTTTGGTTTACCTAAGTTTTACGGTACAAAAGCTATGAGCCAGTTAGGAATTGAACAAGGTTTTTCTATCATAAGATCAAAGGTCAAAGTCAAGGTTAGAGTGACCTTACTTTGGCCTATGACACACCTCAAGTCCATGATGCAACTGCATACCAAGTTTGGTTAACCTATGTTTTAAGGTAAATTAGTTATGAGTCGAAAAAGAATGGGACAAGGTTTGACTATCATAGGGGTTAAAGGTCGAAGTCAAGGTCAGAAAGACCCAACTTTGATACATGAAACACCCTCAGTCCATGATGCAACTGGAAACCAATTTTGGTTAACTTAAGATTTACAATACAAAAGTAATTTTGGATTACAAAGGAACTTTATGCAAGTGGTGTTATTGAAAATTTAGTCACTGTTCAATTTCATTTTCTCCATTTAAGCGCAAATTAAGTATGAAAAGTTGACGATAGATGATTTAAATGCTGTTTTATACTTTCTGCAAATCATCTTCATATATCTATAGTTTTAATATTTGGCTTTAATTCCGAATATTACCCCATCTTAAAATCAGGAGAGATCAAATAGATGATACCAAAAGGAGAATCAATCCTATCAAGTCGAAGGAGAATATCATCACAAAAACTAACAAGAATGTGTCCATAGTACACGGATTGCACACTTGCACTATCATTTTCTATGTTCAGTGGACTGTGAAATTGGGGTCAAAACTCTAATTTGGCACTACAATTAGAAAGATCATATCAAAGGGAACATGTGTACTAAGTTTCAAGTTGATTGGACTTCAACTTCATCAAAAACTATCTTTACCAAAACTTTAACCAAAAACTTAAACCAAAAACTTTCACCTGAAGCAGGACAGACGGACGAACAGACGTACAGTCAGAAAAACATAATGCCCATAAATGGGGCATAAAAAAGTTGAAAAAATAAAGCAACAGTCTACAAAACATTACATAAACAAGAATGTGTCCATAGTACACGGATTGCCCACTTGCACTATCATTTTCTATGTTCAGTGGACTGTGAAATTGGGGTCAAAACTCTAACTTGGCATTTAAATTAGAAAGATCATATCAAAGCGAACATGTGTACTAAGTTTCAAGTTGATTGGACTTCAACTTCATCAAAGACTACCTTGACCAAAAACTTTAACCTGAAGCCGGACAGACGGACAAACGGACGAACGAACGGATGCACAGACCGAAAAACATAATGCCCCTAAGTGGGGCATAAAAACTAAAAACTGCTCTAGCAGCACAAACCCCACCAAAAAGGAGGGGATTTGAATTGAACTTCATTGTGAATAAGGCAAAATGTAACCATTTTGAAATATCTTAGAAAAAAAATCAAAGATGTATCCTTACATCAATTAAGTTACTGTAAATTCAAAAATTATTGTGACAGTATCAGGTTCGCAATAATAAAAACTTGAATGCATTTTTTCAGTAGTGATTTTCATTCACAAAATTTTTCCAATCGCATTACTCATGTTAATTAGATCACTATTTTTTACAAGTAATCAGAGATTCACGATTATAAATGCACACATTAATTTCTGAATTTACAGTATATAATTGCAGAACACTTACTAAATTTAAGTTTATTTTCGACTTGTGAGTTTGGATGTCCTTTGATATCTTTTACTGGCGTTACTTTTTATTGCTGTAATGTTATCAGGAAAATATGAATCTTATTGCAATACTATTATATATTTTGTGTGTGTGTGCTTTTTTTAAACAGTTATGTAGATGAAGTGAAATGTTTAGTTCTATCAAAGGATTCAATAATTACATTGATAAATACCATGATACCCCACATCTCCTTTTACTTAAATCAGTACAGATAAATTATTTTCAGATCCCTAACCAAGATTTCTGCTCTTCAATTCTAAATTTTATTTTTTCATTTAAAAAAAAACCTTCTGGTAAATATATCACAAAAAAGGGGAATCGAAAAAATGAGCCGATACTTACGCTGTCCAAGACCGTATGTCAATATCACAACACGGTTGCCCATCTTTTTATTTTCTTCCTTTATAACTTCAAGTGGTTCTCCACCGGCAGTTTTTTCGCCATCAGTTAAAAACAGAATAACTTTTCCTGAAAAAGTAAATTTTATAGGAAATATAAATTTGCATTTTTCAATGCTAAGCTGGTACCTATTTGACAACACGTTTTTATATGGTATTTAATACTATAATTAATGCTATGCTGAGCCTTCTTATTTTTAAATACATATTTTATAAAAAAAACATGTAATATCTCCTAAGGAAATATAATTTTCCGGAGTTTTTTTAAAGAACCAATATTTGTCAAACATCTTGTCTTGCAACACATGGTTTGTAAAAAAAGAAATAGCCAAAAATATGAATGACTACCATGCAAAATAAAGTCCCACACTGACAGTCAAATTGTTTGGCTGATCAGCAACAGAGTAACGATATTCATCATCATCCATGGTCATACATATCCTAACAGATTATCTATGGTTTTGAAAACAGATTGTTGCAGGATTGCCCTTGAGATGAGATACAGCCGAGAAACCTTCTTAAATAGAGAGACCATAAACGATATGTTTATCAATATTTATAATTACCTAGGCAACATTAATGACATTGGTTAATGGCAGCATTGTGTTCTCTCTCAATTCGACTGAGAAAAACCCATTATCGAGTAGCTTGAGATAAAAAATTATCATACAAAAAGATCAAAGCGTGTTAAAGAAAATAGCAATATTTAATAATGATTTATTTTACAGATCTCATGAAGGTTTTTTATGACATATATAACTAATTAAATTACAGAATACCTCTATCATCAGATGTGTCTGGCGTGTTCACAAAAAATTGGAAGGCTGCTTGCATTGCTGCTTCATAATTAGTAGATCCACCACTACTGATGACACTCACTTGACTCTTCATGAATTTAATATTAAGGGGTGTGGCTTTTGCTAATTCTGTTCCATGACACTCCCTGCGAATTGTACTAGCCCCTGGTATGTAAGCAGTGGTGCCGAAAGCGACTACCCCAAACTGAAAAAAAGTGGTCTCCATGCATAACGGTATAACAATAAGGGCAAAAATAGGTGTATTTTCTCTGTACTACCCTTTGCTGTTTTCATTATGTCATGATATTTTTGAATTTATTTATCCTTGTATGAAGATTAGCTGAGTGTATATGTACGTATTCATGCTATTGACACTTATATATGTGTATTTTCTGACCAATATGTTAAGTAGAGCCATAGACATGTTTACAATTTGGGAATTACAAAAAAAGTCATGTAGATTTCGTAATAAGAATGCAAAAATATTCCAGAAAGGACAGTTCATACAACATCTCATGATATTGATATTTCAACTCAGGACCTATATATAAGCCAGACACCTAGATACTCCAGTAAAAAGTCAATTTAAGTATTGAAAAATAACTACTTATTTTTTTATGGCTTCAGCAAAGTATAAAGGTAACATGGATTTACATTATCAAGAATATGGTAAATTTGGATTTTCTCATAAATGGTTACATAAAATAAGATAACACAACAACAAAAATTGATTCCAATTTGCTAGTTTAATATAGAAAAGGATAAATGCAAAAAAAGTATCTGCCAAGAAAACAAGTATAAGAACTGTTTGCTATAAAACTTATGTTGACCTCCGACTCACTATCTCGTTGATGTATACCTCACAATTTGTTTTTACTGATATCAGAAGTCATATAATATCAAAGTCAGTCAAACAAAAGATTTCTGAAAACATTTATTATATATACATATGTTAAGGATTCCTGTCAAGCAATCATGGTGCTTCAGTAGAGTATGTACTCGCCTAAGGTTGCAAGGTCACCAGCCAAGCCCCAAGGAGCAGTTTGAATTTATAAATGTAGTAGCCACAATCACAAACATCTTAATGACTTTCTAATCCCCTTCTCATCTTCCATCTTCCATCTTTGATAAACAAGAGTGCACACGCTGAAATGTCTCGCCTTCTTTACTAATCATTGATATTATGTTGATAGTCCTAAATATGAAGCTTTATTACAACTGTCACATAAACTTAACATTAACCAAGTAAACTAAACATTGACCAATGAACCATGAAAATGAGGTCAAGGTTAGATGAACCATGCTAGGCAGGCATGTACAGCTAACAATTCTTCCATACAACAAATATAGTTGACCTATTGCTTATAGTTTAAGAAAAACAGACCAAAACACAAAAACTTAACACTGAGCAATGAACCTTGAAAATGAGGTCAAGGTCAAATAAAACCTGCGTGACTGACATATAGATCATAAAATATTTCCATACACCAAATATAGTTGAACTATTGCATATAGTATTAGAAAAAAAGACCAAAACTCAAAAACGTAACTTTGACCACTGAACCATGAAAATGAGGTCAAGGTCAGATGACACCAGCTGCCAGCTAGACATGTACACCTTACAATCATTCCATACACCAAATATAGTAGACCTATTGCATACAGTATAAGAAAAACAGACCAAAGCACAAAAACTTAACTATAACCACTGAACCATGAAAATGAGGTCAAGGTCAGATGACACCTGCCAGTTGGACATGTACACCTTACAGTCTTTCCATACACCAAATATACTAGACCTATTGCTTATAGTATCTGAGATATGGACTTGACCACCAAAACTTAACCTTGTTCACTGATCCATGAAATGAGGTCGAGGTCAAGTGAAAACTGTCTGACGGGCATGAGGACCTTGCAAGGTACGCACATACCAAATATAGATATCCTATTACTTATAATAAGAGAGAATTTAACATTACAAAAAATCTTAACTTTTTTTTTCAAGAAGTCACTGAACCATGAAAATGAGGTCAAGGACATTGGACATGTGACCTACGGAAACTTCGTAACATGAGGCATCCATATACAAAGTATGAAGCATCCAGATCTTCCACCTTCTAAAATATAAATCTTTTAAGAAGTTAGCTAACGCCGCCGCCGTAGCCGCCACTGCCGTCGCCGGATCACTATCCCTATGTCGAGCTTTCTGCGACAAAAGACTCAGGCTCGACAAAAATAATAATTTGGATTAAGATCGAGGTAAAGGATCTTTGAAACTCTCCCTCTCTTACTCTTTCTAGCCATTTCTATTAAGCTGATCTTCTTAATCGTTTTTACATTACCCTGTCATTTGGATTAAGTGTTTCCAGGACTGATATGGCAGCTTCTTTGGCTATCTGTAGTAATGTCTTAGAATTATGCAAGTCTCTCATTGATCCAGATCTATCAATAACAACCACTACATCCTTCTGAACAGGGGTTGCCGTGGAAACATAAAACGGTCTAAATTAAAAATGATTTAATGGTATAATAAGAATAACATCTGTATAAACCTTTCAAGTTATAGGTCAACCTAAATAATAAAAGAGTATATTTTGATAAGGTCCAAATACAGTCACTATTTCTAGCTACAATTTCTTCCACTAGAGGATCTAGAGAGCCTGTGTGGCTCACCTTGGTCTTTGTGCATCTTCAAAAATGGTTATATGCTCCAACATTGTAGACAAGAATATAAATCGTGACAAAAATCTCTTTTTGTTGATATTGTATGGCTGATCATTTTTTCTGTTTAATATACATGATATACAGTTCCTATCTATCTTCTTTAGTTTTTGCACACAACACAGAAAAGTGCAAACAAAATTGTCTTTTATGGGAAATCACTCCTAAAAAGAGTCTACTAACCATGATAACCATTTCAGCAAAGGAGTATAGGTTCACGAAGGGTCAATATTGGCCCTATAATTCAGTAAAATTTAATTCAGTAATAATAGTAAACATCTATTTTACAAAATATTTTAACATATCTTACAAATACAAAATCAACTAGTTCTGATGTATAAGAACATGTATGATCATCATAACTGTGCACTTTTATGAAGACAATCATAATTTGAATAACTTTTTGGCAAAATTTTAATAGTTTTTGCTTCAAATGACATTGGCCACACGCAAGGACCACAACAATTTATTGTTAGAATGTGAATCTGGTCCATATACATTTTTGTATAACAAATTTAATTTGGTTAAGGGTATGGCCAATATTTCCTGGTAAAAGATCTAAAAACAAACAATCTGGCTAAAATTCTGTAAAAAAATTATACTTTTCAAGCTGTCAAAATGGTAACAAGAGTGCACACCCTGAAATGTCTTACCTGCTTTACTGACAATTGATTTTATGTTGAAAGTCTTAAAGATAAAGGTTTTACTAAAAGCATCACAGAAACTTAACATTCAAATGATACCTACCAGACAGACATGTTCACCATATAATCATTCCATACACCAAATATAGTTGACCTATTGCTTATAGTACTTGAAAAATAGACCAAAATACAAAAACTTAACATTGACCAATGAACCATGAAAATGAAGTCAAGTTCAGATGATACCTGTTAGAAAGACTTGTACACCTTACAATCATTCCTTACACCAAATATAGCTGACCTACTGCTTACAGTACTTGAAAAACAGACTAAAATACAAAAACTTAACATTGACCAATGCAATGAACCATGAAAATGAGGTCACGGTCAGATGAAACTTGCTTGACTAACATGTACCCATTACAATCATTCCATACACCAAATATAGCTGACCTATGTACTGCTTACAGTATTTGAGAAATGGAATCACGTAACTTTAACCTTGATCAATGATCCATGAAATGAGGTCGAGGTCAGATGAACTCTGTGTGATGGACATGTAGACGGTGAAAGAAACCCATATACCAACTATAGTTATCCTATTACTCATATCATACTAAGTAAGAAATTCACATGACAAAATATTCGAATTTTTTTCTAGCAGTCGCTGAACCATGAAAATGAGGTCAAGGACAATGGATATATGATTGAAGGAAACGTCCTAACATAAGGTATCTGCATACAAGATATAAAGCATTCAGGTCTTCTACCTTCTAAAATATAAAGCTTTATACAAAAAGTTTACGCTGCAGCCGCCACCAGATAGTAATACCTATGTCGCGCATACTGTGACTTTCAGGCGAGACAAAATGAACAGCAGACAGAAAACTGTTTTAGTTTTTCTAAATTTGCAAATTTAAGATCATAACTATAGGTTTTGGCATATTGTGATATTACAAAGTTCACATTTTAGGGTCAAATTAAGGCCTTTTGTGGTCATACTCCTTTGACTTATTTGTAGATCTCATCTTGCTGATCATTTTGCAATTTAAAGCAACTATCTATCTTCCATAATTTCCAAGATAATAGGAAAAAAACCTGTGCTTACTTGTACAATTTCTATTATGTGATAACCTGGTTTATATGTCTGAAATTGTTTACTTTAACTTAAACAATGTCAAATATCGGAGGGACCAGTTAATGAATCAAGGGACAAAATATTGTCCTTGATATAACTTTCTTTTTCAAAATGACCGATTTTCTTCTTATACTTAATAGAATGTATCTTACATTTGTCTTAAGTGTGTACACGAGGAGACCATAAGCTAACATCTAAATGTTCTTTTTATTTTTTTTGTTGGGTTGCTCTCTCATTGATCCCCAGTGATCGGGAAAGACGTGCGCCTTGCGCCAATTGCGCTTATCGACCAGAAATGGCGCATAGAGTGATAAATGTAAGCGCCCGCGTGGCGCATGATATTTTTCACTTCGTTTTGAAACGTTGAGATATCGTCAAATGGATTTCCGATCGTATTTCGTGCCGCCATGTGTGAGTACACAACTCCAATGATAGGAGCACCTATATATTTTTTGGGACTTCTCGGGTGTTTTCCTATGGTAATAATAGCAACATGCGGTATGACTGATTACCCAAAAAACGTAATTAACCATCATTCATGATATAATTTTTTATAAACAACTTTAAATTTGTGAAAATTGGCTAGTACAGTCGATAATTCTTCTCTAATTATAATCTTTTAAGTAAGCTTGCTATTATTTCGATTGAAAAATCCAAAAGCCTTTTTATGAATAGCATAGTATTTGTCTCCATAAAAGGGGCTTAACTGTCCTTGTCAATTTTTTTGGTCTTTGGCTCGTTTTGACATTAAACATGCCTTCAGCGAATTGTTGTTGTGTCTTATCAATTAACGTTGCTCTCTACTGTTATTCTTGTCATCGTGATGAAGTAATAATAATACAAGTGCAGAGGAAATACCAGAAACGTCCTCTAATACGGAACGTCTGGAATAAGTATGGTATCGACGAAGACCCAAATTTAATGTAAAAAAAAACATGAACATGAACAAGGGAACAGTACCAGTTTTAATATTGTAAATAAAGGTTATCGTAAATATTGCCCGGTTTGGAAGAAGTTATTGTATATTCATTGAAATTGAAATAACAAAATCACAGGAACAATTTCCATGATATTATTATTAATCATACTTGTAAGTACAGTGAAATATACTCTTTTTTTTATTTTTTTTTTTTATTGTTAACGAATGGCCCACTCATTTGACAACATGGCCCATTAATTCTAAAAATGGCCCATTGAATTTATTTTTGGGGGGCCCTGGGCCCATAGAGAAAAAATCCTTCCAGATCACTGGATCCCAGACCCACATCTCAACATAATGATATCTAAACATATTTACCTGAATCTTGGATCGTAATTGGAACAATCATTTAGTTTAAAGGATGGATAGTTTAAATATATCCCATCTTCTTTCCCAAAGTACTGCCATTTAAGGTTTGGATTAAGTCTGTAGTTTTCTTTCATCACATCTTGTATTTTAGTTGTCGGGAATGTCCGTTCTGACGGAGAATAGGATGATATTGTGACACAGGCTTGGTTCATGTTAACCTGTCATTAAAATTTAAAAAAAAAAAATAAAAAATAAATAATTATCTTTATCTGCTGATCTGATTATTCAATCTTAAATCATTGTAGGATTGGATCGATCAGGTGGGAGGGTTCAGAAGATTAGACCTCCTCTTCAAAAATAACTTTTTTTACATTTGAATTAAACTATCAAAAGTAATTATATAAAAAAATTAGTTTGATGGGAAAAAACACTAAGATATGACTGCAGACAACTACTGACTTTTATCAGTGTGATAACAAAAGGTAAATCAAGACACTTATACAATTATGACTTTTGGTGAGGTTAATACAATGATTTATCGATCCAAAAGAAATATTATTCACCGAGGCCAAAGGTAGAGTGTGAATGCCATATCTCTTGGGTTGAAAATCATTGTATCCACTGATATTAATGTCAACAATTGTTTTATTATATAACTTTTTTTATCCTTCACCAATTTTCTAGCATTTGCTCAAGATTATTTTAACTGCTCCTTGTTTTTATACTAAATATATCATCTGCTTTAAATTTGCAGTTGCTAACCTTTTATAACTTGAAATATTTAGTAACATTTACTAAAACAAAATCAACACTGAAAAAACAAAGAAGAAAAACAAAAAATTTGCATGAAGTCATAAACCTATGTCATTGATGTTGAATAGGAATAACTATATTTAGGTAGACGTTAGCTGTTCCAAATGTTATATTAACCTCTCATGATTTTTCCAACAAGGAATATAATGTTTTACAAAAGAAGACTCCCTATGTTTTAAGCCAATAGAAAAAACAGAAAATTTGTTGTCACATACTAATACAATCTGTCAAGTTGTAAATATTTCAGTCATATCACACAAACCTTTGTTCTAAATTTACTACTGTTAGTAAGCCCCGTTGCATGACAGCATTGGGGCATTGATGTAAAGCTTGAAAAACTGTCTATGTCCTCTTCAACGGCTTGTTTAATTCTCATCAAAGCTTGAATAGGCCCATCAAATTTGGTACTTAAGGAAGCTGAGATCTGCAAAATAATTAAACCACTTAGTTGCACTTTACATTAAATTTGTATTATTATGATGAAGTCTTAAACAACAACATGTATAGGGATAGCTAGTTATCTTTACAAAGCATTTTTTTTTATTGTAGATAGAGGATTGTTAATAGTTTTTACTAAACATAACTAGAGGCTCTCAAGAGCCTGTGTCGCTCACCTGTATTTACTGATGCTTTGGAAATCATGTAAAATAAGGTTCACTACAAACCAGTAAAAGTCTGAAATGGCCTATATCTGTACTCGACTATACTGATTTTTACTCGACCAGTCTGAATGGGTCTGAAATTTACTTGATAATACTCGACTGTAGTCTGAACCATACTTAACAGTCTGAACTTGTACTCGACCAGTACTTAACCGTTTTATACGTGTCTGAACCATGCTCGACCTAGTCTGAACCATACTCGACCTAGTCTGAATCATGCTTGACCTAGTCTGAACCCTACTCGACCAAGTCTTAACCAACCTAGACCTATTTTTTGTATCTATCTATTGTATTTCATCAATTTAAGAACTGTTTTTAACAACAGCTATTTCCCCTGGCTAGAAATTTGAACAACAATTTGAAATTAAAAATGTATTCAATATAGCATTGAAACCTAAATTTCACAATAAACATAATATAACTTCAACACCATATTCATCAACACTTATATACATACATATATATCACCTTTAAAATAAAAATAAAACAAGCTGATCAAATAATCTCAAAACTGAATTGTGACTAATATTTTCAATGTTATTCAAAAATTTTTGAATGATTCAGATATATTTTATGGTTACTGGACAATTTTCACCATTTACTTAAGCCTAGTCAAGGATTTGTATAGTGAGACAAGGATACAAATCCTTGGCCTAGTAGAGATTTATGGTGTCATTTGAGTTTAGTTAATAATGCAGTGAACATTTTTTTATTAAAATATATATAAAATAGCATATAAAGCAACTTGATAAATTCAAAAAATGACACCTTTGTTTTGTTAAACCAAGAATTTAATATAATCATGATAATAGAACTTCCATAGTAATCCTGTGATAAACTTTTAAAAAAGGAAATGTGTTCCAAAGTTACAGTAAAAATTTATTTCAATTAAATTTAAATAATTTTTGTCAAAATTAAAGACATGGCATACAAGAAGCACTTTAATAAGGTTTAATTACCTCAGTACATGTATGTTTTACAGGTAAAAAGAATGCCCTATTTTTCTTAAACTCGTGTATTACTTATCTAGTGAATTCAAAAGGCCTTGTGATTTAAGTTTCACAGGATGTTGCAATTTTGAATGAATGTTATTTAGAATTTAATACTCTCTGACCAGGTGTGATCTTTTTCACGAGTTTGCCCCAAGCAGGAGGTATTACTTTATACTTCACCACTAATCAGAAGAACAATTTTATTAATTTCTTTAATTTTTATCCCTTTTTGATATAAATTGTATATAATATATCCCAAATTATAATAATAGATATATTTCTAAAATAAGGTAAAACAATTTCAGTGATTTTGTTGGCTGTTGTTACCTCATTAAAAAGATAATTATATAACTATTGTACATTTTTGTATGTAACCATGAAACCTATGTAGTTTTTATTTAGGAATTTAGGAAAATTAATTTAAAAAAAACACATGCTAACAAGAAGCACCTTAATAAGGTTTAATTACCCTCAGTATAGGTGTGGTTTTTAGGTAAAAGAAAATCTTTTTTTAACAAAACTCTAAAACTTTAAAATTAATATAATTAAATTATTACATAAGATAATTTGATTTAACTATCTCTATTTGATAAATCTGAGAATCATGTAATAAAAATCTGTTTTTATAATATATCTTTATTTTATTGTGGCTGTTGTCATGTCAGTTAAAAAGAAATTTATTTTAACAGTTAAAATTTAGAAAAAGTAGAGGTTATTTGGTCAAGTATGGTTCAGACTGGTCGAGTATTGTTCAGACCTTTGGTCGAGTATGGTTTAGACTGAAAAAAATAGGTCGAGTACAGGTCGAGAATGGGTTAAGACAGTTTCAGACTGGTCGAGTAATAGTTCAGACTATTTTCAATGACAAAGATAAGGGTCAAGTACAATTCAGTACAGTCAAGTATGGTTAAGACTGGGGTCGAGTAATGTCGAGTAAAATTCAGACCAATTCAGACTGGTCGAGTAAAAATCAGTACAGTCGAGTACAGATAAAGGCCATTTCAGACTTTTACTGGTTTGTAGTGGTTAAAATCATAATTAATAGTATTAGATATAAGATATTATAATGATATCTAAGATAATAACAAAAAACTGTAAAATTTTTGTAAAATTACTAACTCAGGGGCAGCAACCCAACAACGGGTTGTCGGATTTGTCTGAAAATTTCAGGGCAGATAAATCTAAATCTGATGAACATTTTTGCCACCTGTCAGATTTGCTCTAAATGCTTTAGTTTCAGAGATATAAACCAAAACCTGCAGTTTACCCCTATGTTCTATTTTTAACCAAGTCGGCCATGATGGTTGGAAGGCGGGGTCATCGGACAAAATTTTAAAACTAGATACCATAATAATAATTGTGGCCAAGTATGGTTAAATTTGTCTCAGTAGTTTCAGAGAAGAAGATTTTTGTAAAAGATTACAAAAATTTACAAAAAATTGTTAAAAATTGACTATTAAGGGCAACAACTCCTTAAGGGGTCGACTGACAATTTTGGTCATGACAACTTATTTGTAGATCTTACTTTGCTGAACATTATTGCTGTTTACAGTTTATCTCTATCTATAATAATATTCAAGATAATAACCAAAAACTGCAAAATTTCCTTAAAATTACCAATTCAGGGGCAGCAACCCAACAACGGGTTGTCAGATTTGTCTGAAAATTTCAGGGCAGATAGATCTTGACCTGATTATCAGTTTTATCCTGTCAGATTTACTCTTAATGCTTTGGTTTCAGAGATATAAGCCAAAATCTACATTTTACCCCTATGTTCTATTTATAGCCATGGCGGCCATCTTAGTTGGTTGGCGGGGTCATCGGACACATTTTTCAAACTAGATACCCTAATGATGATTGTGGCCAAGTTTGGGTAAATTTGGCCCAGTGGTTTCAGAGGAGAAGATTTTTGTAAAAAGCTAACGACGACGGACGACGACGACGACGACGACGCCGACGCCGACGGACGACGGACGCCAAGTGATGAGAAAAGCTCACTTGACCCTTCGGGTCAGGTGAGCTAATAAAAGAACAGAGTTCCAATGTCCCCCGCATTGCACATATTTCAAAATTATTAAACGTGTTGTTTTCAATTTTTTTATCTATCCAAGGTACATTGGCAATAACTAAAAAAAGCACTTTTTTTTGTTCTTTAAAACTTTTTATAAATATCTTAGAGAAATGAAGGCTTGAGAGCAAATTCGATATGATTTCCATTATAATAATTAATATTTCCAAGGGGCATAATTGTTAAACATTTGATCAGCACTTATTTTAAAAAGTGTCAAAGACATTGCTGATATAAACCTATGATATAAGTTTCATACAATTGTGGCAATAATTGTACACATGAGAGCGCTGACAATACAATTTTCCATATAATCAATATTTCCAAGGGGCATAACTCTTTTAAAAATAGCTGATCATCACTGATTTTTGAACTCATCAAAGACAATGATGATATAAGTTTCATAAAAATCTGGCAAGAATTGTATACATTAAAGCGCTTATAAGGCAATTTTCCATATAATTAATGTTTCCAAGGGGTATAACTCTTATAAAAGTAATTGATCGACACTGATTTTCGAAATAGTCCGAGACATTGCTTATATAAACCTATGATATAAGTTTCATATAAATCTGGCAAGAATTGTACATGTGAGAGCGCTAACAAGACCGGATGACCGGATACCCGGTATTTCTATGTCCTCTGCAACGCGTTGTTGGGGGACAATAAAATGGTATAAAATGGTAAGCCTATAAATTAAATCTGATGTTTAACACTATAAATTTGTGTGTATGTTTTTGTGTGTGAAGTGACTAAAAGATCTAGTTTCATTCTGTAAACCAACTTATTTTCTGGGATACTATATTTACACGCTTATAAAAATAAGGAGATGAGGTATGATTGCCAATGAGACAACTATGAATCAAAGTACAAATAAGGTCAC